CCCACTGTGTTTCTGTCCTGGCTGCTGTTCTGGAGAGGGGACAGCATCGGGGGAGTGTCACGGTCACTGTTGTGCTCTCTCCTGGCTGCGGTGGCGCACTGTTGGATCTGCTTGGATGAAGTTCTTCAGTGGGGGAAAAATCCTTTTTCAGAGGCAGCGCTCACCCGGCACTCCGGGTGTGGCAGCGTTTATTTGGAACGCGTTTTGGGCATGTTTCATGGGGGAAATCCCATTTTTCTGAAGAGGCAGCGCTTATCCAGCCCTCCAGGAGTGGCAGCGTTTATTGGGAATGTTTCCTGGGAATGGTGTGAATTACAATCCCCCCCCTCCCCGCACACGCCAGCCCCGCTCCCTCCTCTCCCGCCGAGAGCCTCTGAAAGCTCTTTATTCCTTTAAAAGCTCTTTATTCCTTTAAAAGCTCTTTATTCCTTTAAAAGCTCTCTATTTCCAGGCGCTGCTCAGCGGGGAGTCAAGCTGGGTCCTGCCAAGTGTTAAATGAAATAATTAAAATCCCCGCTTTCCCCCCCTTTCCCCGCTCCTCTCTCCGGTAATTAGCCGGGAAAAGCTGCGGGCGGGGATGGGCACAGGGAGAAGGAGCGAGCGCCTTTCGCAGGCTCCCTCCTCCTCCTCCTCCTCCTCCTCCTGCCTCGGGGAGGAAGCACGGAGCGCTCGGCAGGCCCTGGGCGCTGCCAGATAAATCCCAATTAGCTCCCTGCCAAACAGGATTAGCGGGAAGGCAGCCAGGTGGGGAATCAGCCCGGCAACAGCAGGAGCCGCGCCTCGGAGGGCGTGACTGACAGCTGTCAATCATCCCCCCGAGCAGCAGATCGGGGTTTTGGGAGCTGGGAGAAGCGGGAGGGAATTTAAGCTCAAGCTCAGGCTGCTGCTCCCATGGAGCAGCATATATATTCTATATATAATATATATAGTCTCTCTATATATTCTATATATAATAGACTATATATATTCTATTATATATAGAATATACATATATGATATATAGTATTTTATATTATATATATCAATTATATCATAGATATTTATAGATAATATATACATTATAGATATATATTACTACATATATAATATTATAGATATATAATAATATATATCTATAATATTCTATATATTATATAGAATATATAATATTCTATATATTCTATTATATATTCTATATATAATAGAATATATATTATGTATATTCCTGACAGCTTAGGAATATATAGAATATATATTCTATTATATATATAGATAAATATAGAATCTATATAGAATCTATATATCTGTATTTCAGGAATTTTGGGATAACCCCTCCCTGCTGTCCCCAGCCCCCCCATCACCCTCCTGTCACCCTCTGGCCTGGCTGTGACACCTGGATTGGCTCTCCCAGCTGCCCCTTCTGGAGCCAAAGGTGACTTTTACGCCTTTTTTTTTTTTTTTTTTTTTTTCTTTTATGGCCTTTTTTTGCTTCTATGCCTATTTTGACTTTTATGGCCATTTTGGCTTTTATGGCCATTTTGGCTTTTTTTTCTTTTTTGCCTTTTTTCTCTCTTTATTTTTTTACTTTCTGGCCTTTTTTGCTCGGCCATCTCTTGCTGGGTTCTCCTTCCTGGCCGAGGGGACAGGCCAGGAGCACACCTGGCTGGGTGTCCCTGGCTGGCCGAGGGGGCAGGTGACACTGTCCCATCCCTGCTGTCAGTGTCACCAGAGAGGTGGCAGCTCTGGGGACAGGGACATTGATGGGGACCCAAAGTGACCCCACTGGGGTCCGAGCAGGGCAAAGGGACCCCGAGAGTGTCAGATCCCATCCCAAATCCCACAGGGGCACAGTGTTTGGGTTTCCCAGGAGGATGAGGAGCCAGCGTGTCCCTGCTGGGGCTGGGGACACAAAAGCTGCCCCTCAAAGTGGCCCCGCAGGGGACAGGGAGGGACGTGGCTGATTTGCATGTGAAAGCAGCGCAGGGAGGAGGCAAAGCTCGGTTCCCTGTGGGAATTGTTCACAGCCAGGGCTGGGCCCTACCCTGGATTGCTGGGCTGGCTCTGGAGCCCTGCCCTGGGGCTGTGGAGGGGACAGGGAGGGGACAGAGTGGTGACAGCAGGGCAGGAATTGGGCACCTGTGGCACAGGAAGGGTGGAGGGGCTGGGACGGGAAGGATGGAAGGGAAAACACGGGAAGGATGCAGGAACAGCAGAAGGATGCAGGAGCTGGGATGGGAAGGACTGGGGAGCTGGGACAGCAATGATGGATGAACTGGGATGGGAAGGATGCAGGAACAGCAGAAGGGTGTAGGAAGAGCAGAAGAATGGGGGAGCTGGGATGGGAAGGATGCAGGAATGGGAAAAGGATGCAGGAGAAGGCACTGAAGGATGCAGGAGCAGCAGAAGGATGCAGGGAGCGAGGCAGGTTTAAAGAGGAGCAATCTCTGGGATGTGACTTCGTTTTTTTCCCCCTTTTTTCTCTGATTTTTTTCTTGGATTTGCACCTCAGGATGCTCCCAGCCCTCGGAGAGGAGCAGGGGGGTTTGTGGAGGTGGCTGGGGGTCAATTTGTGCCCATCCCACAGGGAGCTCCTGCAGGGGTGCCCTGCCCTGCTGGGGACCACCCAGTGTCCCCACGTGTCCTTGTGGGAGGGGAGGATTCTTTAATCTCTGTGTCCCTCAGGCTGCAGGTGCATTGCCAAGGTGAGGAGGGAAGGATTCTTGGGAGGGCTGGGAGCAGAACCTGCCCCTGGCAAGGATTTTGTCCCGAGTTGTTGCTTTTGGGAGGAGCGGGGAGCAGGAATCCAGTGGGGGAGCTGGAATCCAGTGGGGAGCAGGAATCCAGTGGGGAGCAGGAATCCAGTGGGGAGCAGGAATTGTGAGCAGCCCCCAGAGCTGCCCCGATGGAGCCACAGCCCCCAGACCCGCAGAGGGAGAGGGGGAGGGAATGTTTGTGTTCTGCCATCCTGGCAGAGCCTCCACCCGAGGCAGGGCAGGGCGAGCTCCTGGGTTTGTGTTGGGGCAGCAGCAATCCCTGCCCATTGTTGGACCTTCACCTTCCTCTGGCTTCCACCCAGCCCTGCTGGTGGCACCGTCCCCATCCCAGAGGGATGCAGGAACAGCCCGCAGGGATGGAGCAGTTCCATCCCTGCTCCTTTTTCCCGGCTGGTTTCGGGGAGCCTGTGCCGGTAACACCCTAAAAACAATAACCGGGTTTTCTCCTGCTGCTCTTTCAGGCTGGTTTCGGGGAGCCTGTGCCGGTAACACCCTAAAAACAATAACCGGGTTTTCTCCTGCTGCTCTTTCAGGCTGGTTTCGGGGAGCCTGTGCCGGTAACACCCTAAAAACAATAACCGGGTTTTCTCCTGCTGCTCTGCCGTGCCCGGGGGTCTCTCGGGGGGCGATGCCGGCAGAGCTGCGAGCAGCCGGGGGGGCTGAGCCCCCTCTCGCCCATCGCACCCCTCCGTGCTGATCCCGAGGGTCCTGGGGAGGTTCCCCCGCCCCTCTCTCGCCGTGCCCGGGTGGGGAGCGGCTCCCGCGCGACCCCCGCCGCCCCCGCCCTTTGTGCGCGCCGCGCCCCTGCGCCCCCGCGCCCCTTTGTTGGCTCGCCGGGGTCGGGCCGAGGGGCGGGCGGAGGGAGGGAGAGGAGGGTGGGGAGGGAAGGAGGGAGGGATGCGGGGCGGGGGCAGCTCCGGGCTCGCTCCGCGCTGCCGCTCCCTTGTCTGATGCTGCGCGGCCCCTTCCCCGCGCGGGGGGCGCACGGAGACCACCGGGAATAGGATCCACCTCCCACCCATCCATCCCACCCACCCACCCATCCATCCTCCCACCCATCCATCCCTCCCTCGCAGCCGCTCCATGCCGCCGAGCCGCGCTCCGCCCGGGAGGCACCGGCATGTCCGAGCGGCGCCAGCCGGGCACTGAGCCGAGCCGAACCGAGCCGGGCCCCCGCCCGCCGGGCCGAGCCTCGGCTGGGTCCTGCAGAGCCGGGCTGGCCTGGGGAGGCAGCGGGGATGGAGCTGAGAGGAGCCTCGGAGGGAGAGAGGGAGCGTCTGCCTCGGGCTGAGCGCGGCGCGGCTGAGCCGCAGCCCTGAATGCTCGGGCTGAGCCCGAATCCTTGGGCTGAGCCCGGAATCCTCGGGCTGCTCCCAGAATCCTTGGGCTGATCCTGAATCCTTGGGCTGCTCCCGGAATCCTTGGACTGATCCTGGAATTTTGAGATTCTCCCGGAATCCTTGGGCTGTTCCTGCAATCCTTGGGCTGCTCCTGGAATTTTGGGCTTCTCTGAGAATCCTTGTGCTGCTCCTGGAATCCCTGGGCTGCTCCCGAATCTTGGCTGCTCCTGGAATTTTGGATTTTCTCTGGGAATCCTTTGGGCTGCTCCTGGAAATTTGGCCACTCCCAGAATTTTGGGGTTCTCCCAGAATTTTGGCTGCTCCCGGCTGTGGGGACCTGCAGAGGGTCAGAGGCTGCCGGACGTGTCCTGGAGGAGCCGCTGGACAGCGGAGGGAGCTCCGTGTGCCCCGAGTGAGACTGGCGAGGATCTGAGAGGTGATCCTGGGGGATCCCAGAGATTATCCTGAAGGATCTGAGAGGATATCCCAGAGAATCTAAGAGGTGATCCTGGAGGACCTGAGAGGACATCGTGGAGGATCTCAGCAGTTATCCTTGAGGAGCCTAGAAGATATCCCAGAGGATCTCAGCAGTTATCCCAGAAGATATAGCAGAGGATCTCAGAGGTTATCCTGGAGGATCCCAAAAGAAATCCCAGAGGATCTGAGAGGTTATCCTGGAGGATCTCAGCCATTATCCCAGAGAACAGCAATATTCCCAAGCCTGGGAGCGCTCCTGAACTGGCACTGTCCCTGTCCCAGCTCTGCTCCCGCTGTGACATTCCCACCGTTCTCAGCCCGGCGCGTCCTTTTCCTGCTGGGCTCAGCCACGGATTTGGTGCCCTCTGCACCAGGATTTTGATTTCCTTTCTGAGCATTTTGGTTTGCTTTCCAGGCATTTTGGTTTGCTTTCTGGGTATTTTGGTTTCCTTTCTGAGCATTTTGGTTTGCTCTCTGCAAGCACCCATGGATTGACACCTCGAGGGCTGGCTGAGTGTCCCTGTGCCGCCGGAGCTGTCCCCAAGCTGTCCCCAAGGCCACGCCTCTGCCATGGCACCGCCAGGCACAGAGTCCTGAAGGTGCCCCCACCCTGCTGCCAGCCGAGATGGGAACCTCTGGGAAAACCTAAACTGCCAAAAGCACGTGGGGCAAGGACAGGGATCCCCGAGAGCCTGGGGGTGCCCAGCATGACAGCGTGCCAGTACCCCATGGCGCCAGGGGCCCTGGAGCGGGACCGGCTCTACCAGCACAAGGTGTCCCTGGTGGTGAGGTATTTCATGATCCCCTGCAACATCTGCCTCATCCTGCTGGCCACCTCCACGCTGGGATTCGCCGTGCTGCTCTTCCTCAATAACTGTACGTGTCCCTGAGCGGGCAGGATGGCCACCAGGGCCACCAGATGGGCTCCTCCCGGAGCTCCCGGCTGCCCTGGGGACAGTCCCGGCATTGGGGCTGCCCTGGGGACAGTCCCGGCATTGGGGCTGCCCTGGGGACAATTGCGGCATTGGGGCTGCCCTGGGTTCAATCCTGGCATTGGGGCTGCCCTGGGGACAATTCCAGCATTGGGGCTGCCCTGGGTTCAATCCTGGCATTGGGGCTGCCCTGGGGACAATTCCAGCATTGGGGCTGCCCTGGGGACAGTCCCGGCATTGGGGCTGCCCTGGGGACAGTCCTGGCATTGGGGCTGCCCTGGGGACAATTCCAGCATTGGGGCTGCCCTGGGGACAGTCCCGGCATTGGGGCTGCCCTGGGGACAATCCCGGCATTGGGGCTGCCCTGGGGACAATTCCAGCATTGGGGCTGCCCTGGGGACAGTCCCGGCATTGGGGCTGCCCTGGGGACAGTCCCGGCATTGGGGCTGCCCTGGGGACAGTCCTGGCATTGGGGCTGCCCTGGGGACAATTCCAGCATTGGGGCTGCCCTGGGGACAGTCCCGGCATTGGGGCTGCCCTGGGGACAATCCCGGCATTGGGGCTGCCCTGGGGACAGTCCTGGCATTGGGGCTGCCCTGGGGACAGTCCTGGCATTGGGGCTGCCCTGGGGACAATTCCAGCATTGGGGCTGCCCTGGGGACAGTCCCGGCATTGGGGCTGCCCTGGGGACAATTCCAGCATTGGGGCTGCCCTGGGGACAATTCCAGCATTGGGGCTGCCCTGGGGACAGTCCCGGCATTGGGGCTGCCTTGGGGACAATCCCGGATTGCAGCTCCCTGTCCCACTTTTCCCTGGCAGGGAAGAGGGAGCAGAGCTGTGAGGGCGGCTCTGCGTGGGCCAGGACAGCTCCCACCTGCTGCTGCTGCTGCTGCTGCTCCTGGCAGCTCCATCCCTAATCCGGGTGGGGAGCTGGGGATGGGGGGTTTCGGAAGGGCTGGTGATGATCCAGGGGATGTGAGGATTTGGGAAGGGCTGCTGCAGGTGATGATTTGGGGGATGTGAGGGTTTGGGAAGGGCTGGAAATGATTGGGAGATGTGAGGATCTGGAAGGGCTGGTGCAAATGATGATATGGGGGATGTGAGAATTTGGGAAGGGCTAGAGATGACTTGGGGGGATGTGAGGATTTGGAAAGGCTGGTGCAAGTGATGATTGTGGGATGTGAGGATTTGGAAAGGGCAGGAGATGATCCAGGGCAGGATTTGAGAAGGTCTGGTGATGATCAAGGAGATCTGAGGATTTGGAAGGGCTGGTGCAGGTGATGGTTGTGGGATGTGAGGATTTGGGAAGGGCAGGTGATGACTGGGGGAATGTGAAGATTTGGGAAGGGCAGGTGCAGGTGAGGATCCAGGGGGATCTGAGAATTTGGGAAGGGCTGGAGATGATGGGAGATGTGAGGATCTGGAAGGGCTGGTGTAAATGATGACTGTGGGATGTGAGGATCTGGAAGGGCAGGAGATGATGCAGGGGGCCGCAGCATTCCTGCTCTGGGCTGAGCTGCTGGCTGCGTGCCCGGGTGTGTGTGTGGGGTGATCCACAGCAGGATTGGCCCCAGAGCCCCCAGGAGATGGGGCAGGACAGGCTGGGGCAGGTCCAGCCCTGCCAGGACCGGGGGCTGCTCCCAGGGATGCTCCCCTGGTACCTGGGGCTGCCCCAAACTGGCTTTGGGGGATCCTGGGACCTCCTGGGAGCCAAACCTGCTCAAGGAGGGCTAAACACCGTCCCAAAAATGGCTGGGGGCAGGGTTGTGCCTGAGGAACCCATGACAGCTCCATCAGTACCTGGGGCTATCCCAAACCGGGTTTGGGTGATCCTGCCTCCCCTTCCTGCTGTTCCCTCCTGCCTGCAGGAGCTCCTGGGAGCCAAATCTCCTCATGGAGGGGTGAAACTCCATCCCAAAAAGGGCTGGGGCAGGGTTGTGCCCGAGGAACCCGTGACAGCTCCCTGGTTTTTGTTTCCTTGCAGACAAACCCAACAGTTACTTCACGCAGACGCCGCCGCCGCCACGGGATGGTGAGTGCAGAGTGTCCCCAGTGTCCCCAAAGCCCTGGGGCTGAGTGTCCCCAAAGTCCTGGGGCTGAGTGCAGAGTGTCCCCAAACCTCTCAGTGCCCCCATTTTCCAGGGATTTTTTTGGGATGCAGGATTTGTGTGAGGAAGGAAAGCAGGTGCCTCTCAGTGCTGCCTTTTCCCAGGGGTTTTCCTGGGAATTCAGGATTTTGGTGAGCAGGGAATGCAGGAGCCCCTCAGGGCTCCCTTTTCCCAGATATTTTCCTGGCTGGAAGCAGGGAAGGGCTGCAAAAGGTGAATTTCTGCAGCCTTGCATTTTTTCCCACCTTTCCTCTGGTTTCACAGAGAACTTTGGGTTTGGTTTTTTGTTTGTTTTTTTTTTTCTTTGTGAGGCTCTTATCAGCTTCAGGAGCTGCTGGATGCAGGGCAGGCAAGCCCAGGCTGAGATAAAACCATCACAGGAGCTTTGTTCCCTTTTTAAAACCAGGCTTAAACCCCCTGCCTTTGCTGGCAGCTCTTCCCCCACCTCCACGTGCACAGATAAGAGCCCAGCAAACAGAAAACAGCAGCCAATTAATAACCTGCTTGTTGCTTTTTTTTTTTATTATTTTTTTTTCCCCTCATTTTTGCCTCCCCTGCTGGGGGTGGGGGAGAAAAGGATGTGAGATAAAATGTGATTAATCTATAATTGGCCCGGGGAAAGGCATCTCGAGCGAAAAATAAACCCCCACGTGGGTGGAACTCCTTGCTCAGGGCTCCAAAACATGAACAGCCCGGCCCAGGCAGATGCCAGACCTCCAGAAGATCCCACACGAGATGGAGAAGGGCCCGTTCTGGGGGGTGCCGGGGTGTAGGAGGGGTTTGGGGGTCAGGGGACACAGGGAGGGTTTGGGTTTGTGCTGGTTGTGTGCCTGGGGTGGGCTTGGTGTGGTTTGGGACGGGGTTTGGGCTGGGAGAATGCTGGGATTTGGATGAGGTTGGCTCAGGAGCTGGGGGATCAAGGGTTGGATGGACCTGGGGGTTTGGGGAGGTCCCTTCCCTTCCCAAAGCTGGGCAGGGTCATTGTCCAGCCTAACAAAGCCAGGGCTCAGGTTTGGGGTGCAGGAAAGGGGCTTCTCCTGGCTCCCCACTCCGGGTGATGCGATGAATATTTGAATATCGATGGGGCAGGGCTGAATATTTGAATATTGATTGGGTGGGGCTGAATATTTGAATATTGATGAGCAGGACTGGGCTGGGGCACAGGAGCACCAGCCCAGCTGCTCTCCATGGCAACGGGCGCCTCACCCAGCCCAAATTAATTAATACTCACCCCAAATTAATTAATTAATGCCCAGAATTCTCACCCCAAATTAATGCCCTTCCCAAATTAATTAATGCCCAGCCCTTCCATTCCCACTGCCCCTTTTGGGCACAAGGGTTTTTTTGCCAATATAAGGTTTTTCTTGAGCACAGTAAATTTAACAGATTAACCAGGTTAAAACAACATATTCCATTATGTGAGTAAACTGCAAACTAAATAATTTAAACCATTCATTCAGATGAATGGGAATAATCCCATTTTCCAATTAAGAATTAATTCTGTGTCTCAGGGCATGGCCATGGCCAAGCCAGCCCCAGCTCCATTCCCACACCCCATTCCCTTCCCTTGGGATGAACCCCACAATTCCCATCCCCTGGAATTCTTACACCTCATCTGCATTTAAAAAAACCCCAAAGGGAGGGAAAGAGCAGCTCTGGGAAGTGCAGGAGAGACTCAGACTCTTCAGAAAATGATGAATCCCTTTAGATACCACTGGGAGAGGAGGAGAATCCTTTTCCTTTTGATTTCCCGGGATTTATGGGATTTATCTCGTGCTGGGGCAGGAGAGGAGGAGAATCCTTTTCCTTTTGATTTCCTGGGATTTATCTCTGGGTTTGCAGCTCCAGAATCTCCAGGCAGTCAAAGGCAGACGCCTGGGAATTGAAGTGTAAATGAGGAGTTTGATTTTAGGATTCCTCCTTTCCCTTTTATGTAGGTCAGGCTCTGGTTCTGACGTCTGGGGGGCACTGGGGTACCCTGGGAGGGGGTACTGGGGAAACTGGGGGGCACTGGTGCAGGGAACACCTCCAGGAATGGATGGAGCTGTTGCAGAATGAGCTGTTTGTCAGAGATGAGCCATTTGTTGGGTGCAGGGAAGACTTGGGACTCTCAATATGAGATCAGCAAGCTCTGTTTATTGAAGAGAGCATCAGACGCTTATACAGCAAGTAATAAGCTCATGAATATTCTGTAATTTACACTGTCCATTGGCCACACTAAAACATCAGCTCTTCCCCATTCCTTAAGAGTTACATCTCTCTTTTCTCATGTCTCTAGTCTCTCAACCACAGCACTTTGTTATGGTAACACAGCTATGCTCAAGGACAGTGTCCTTGCAGGTGCAAGACTTGGAATTAGCCACGGCCTTGAACTTTTCCCATTCTTACCTACTCTCCCAACATGGAGCTGTCCCAGGGAAGGGGGAAATTGGATTTTAGGGAAAGGTTTGGGGTCCCCTGTGTGTGTGTGTCCCTGTGCCCCCTGGATGTCCCCATGCCCATTGGGATGTCCCTGTGCCCTCAGGATGCCGGGGGATGCTCTGCGGGTTCGGGGCCGTGTGCGAGCGCAGCCCCTCGGAGCCGGGCCAGGCCTCGTGCGTGTGCAGGAAGGGTCCCTGTGCTCTGTGTGTGTGTCCCTGTGCCCATGGGATGTCCCCATGCCCATGTGTGTGTCCCTGTGCCCTCAGGATGCCGGGGGATGCTCTGCGGGTTCGGGGCCGTGTGCGAGCGCAGCCCCTCGGAGCCAGGCCAGGCCTCGTGCGTGTGCAGGAAGGGTCCCTGTGCCCCCGTGGTGGCCCCGGTGTGCGGCTCCGACCACTCCACCTACAGCAACGAGTGCGAGCTGGACAGGGCCCAGTGCAACCAGCAGAGGAGGATCAAGGTGGTCAGCAAGGGACCCTGCGGTGAGTGAGGGACCCTGGCTGTCCCCAGGGCGGGCAGGGACACCTCGGGGTGTGGCTGGAGGGGTCGCACAGGGCTGGGGGCATCAGAGCTGCTTTGGGGGTCAGCAGAGTGTGGTAAGGAGAGGAAATGGTGGGGAAATGATGGAGAAATCATGGCCACAGGCTGGGCCAGGGACACCAAAGGCCGGGAAGGGAAGCTGAGGAATCCCCAGCTCTGCTTTGTGGGCCAGCAAACTGTGATCAGGAGGAAAAGTGATGGAAAATTATCCATTGCTGCTGGATTGGGGCATTTAGAGGGATGGATTTGGGGGATATTGGGATATATTGGGGTTATTCCGTGAGAGGAGCAGGACATCCCATGCCATGCCCTCACCCGTGTCCCCTCCCTTGTCCCCCAGGCTCCAAGGACCCCTGTGCCGAGGTGACGTGCAGCTTTGGCAGCACGTGTGTCCCCTCCCCTGACGGCCAGGGCGCCAAGTGCGTGTGCCCCTCGTCGTGCAGCGGCGTCCCCGAGAGCCCTGTGTGCGGCAGCGACGGCCGCGACTACCGCAGCCAGTGCCACCTCAACAAGCACGCCTGCGACAAGCAGGAGAACGTCTTCAAGAAGTTCGATGGCCCCTGTGGTGAGCAGGGGTTCCAATGTCTCGGGGAGGAGGGGGTTAAAAAATGTGCCCACCTGGGGTGAGGGTGTGGGGGGAAGGAGAGGTGGGAGAGGAGAGGAGGAGGAGGGTGGAGGGTCAGGGGGTAGGAAAGGGGTGGTTTGAGCAGGGAAAGGGCAGAAAAGAGGTGGTTTGGGCAGGAACAGAGGTGGTTTGGGCAGGAAAAGGTCAGTTTGGACAAGAGAAGGTCACTGTGGGCAGTAAAAAGTCGCTCTGGACAGTGAAAGGTCACTTTGGACAGGAGAAGGTCACTGTGGGCAGTGAAAGGTCGCTTTGGTGACAGCTGCTGAGCCGAGAGCCAGGCAGTGCCTCCTTCCCTCGGGTGTTTGTGCTCCAGCCCCGCTGACTCCAGCACCGGGGTCAGCTCCTCCTGCTGCTGCCCTGGCCCTGCTTCGGGCAGGGAAATGCTGCTGCTGCTGCTGCCCAGCTTCCCAAAGAGATCCTGGAGCCGGAGCATTCCAAACTGCTCCTGGAATAAAAACATCCTGGAATTGGAGCATCCCAAACAGCTCCTGGAACTAAAATATCCTGGAATTAGAGCATCCTGAACAACTTCTGGAATTAGAGCATCCTGGAGTTGCAGCATCCCAAAAGCAGCTCAGGATGGGGGAAAAGTCGGAGTTTATCCCAGTGCTGTTCCCTTTGGAAATGGGCTCAGTAAGGACTGAGTCCTTAGCAGCACAAAGGAAGATTCTGGGGGCTCTTGGGGCCATGTAGGGAAGGAGCAGAGCCTGGGAAGCTCCAGTTTGGGCAGGGAGTGACTCCCTGGGGCACAAGGAAGATTTGGGGGTTCTTGGGGAAGGAGCAGAGCCTGGGAAGCCGCGGTTTGGGCAGGGTTTGGGCAGGGAGTGACCCCCGCCTCCCGCCCGTGCCAGACCCGTGCCAGGCCGTGCCGAGCGAGCCGGGCCGCGTGTGCCGGGTGAACCCGCGGACGCGTCGGGCGGAGCTGCTGCCCCGGCCCGAGGGCTGTCCCCCGGGCAGGGACCCCGTGTGCGGCGACGACGGCGTCACCTACGAGAGCGAGTGCGCCATGGCCCGCTCGGGCGCCATCCGCGGCATGGACATCCAGAAGGTGCGCTCGGGGCAGTGCCAGCCGCAGGGTGAGTGCCCGCCCTCCTCATCCTCCTCCTCCTCTTCCCAAAGAGACTGTCTAGAACAGAGGCTAGAGGCTCTATTCCTTTTAAAATAGTAGTAGTTCTTTGCTAAATGTATTAATATGTTCTTTTTAATATATTCTTTAATTTATCAATATAAAAATATATATTGATATAGATTATATTATTAGGCTATTATTAGATTAAATTAGGTACTTCATATAATATAGAATATTGAATATAGAAAAATACAATTGTATTATAATATATAAATATAAGAATATATAAATGCACATTATACAATACATTAATTATATAATATAATATATGAAATAAATATATAGAAATATATATAGAAATAATAGTATTAAAAATATAGAAATAAAAGATATATGGTACATTATATATTATATTATGCATTATATAGATACACATAATAAATATACTATATATATTACATATATTTAATATAATGCATAATTGTATAATGTATAATTATTATGCAGTTACATATATTATGTATAATTAGTATAATTTATCATAACACACTATATATTAATCTAAAAGCCTAAACTTAAGGCTTTTATATTAATATAAGAAAAACATAAAAAAAGTTTAAACTTGAAGCATCAGTACAGAACCTTCAATACTTTTAAGAAACAATACTTAAGCATCAGTATGGAACCTGAAAAATATATTAAAAAAATCAGTAGTGAACCTGAAAAATATTTTTAAAACCCCCACTAACTCCCCCCATGCCCTGTCGCGCAGACCAGTGCCCGGAGCCGTGCCGGCTGGGCGCGGTGTGCCTGAACCGGCGCGGGGCCGCGCGCTGCTCCTGCGAGCGCATCGCCTGCGACGGCGCCTTCCGGCCCCTGTGCGCCCGCGACGGCCGCACCTACGGCAGCGACTGCCAGCGGCGCCGCGCCGAGTGCCTGCAGCAGCAGCACATCCCCACGCGCCACAGCGGGCCCTGCGGTGAGCACCGGGCACGGCGGCTGGGGGGAACGGGGCGCGTGGGCACCAAGCTGGCCCCCGGGGGTGGTGTCCTGCAGGGATGGTGGGCCCCAAGTTGTCCCCCAGAGGTAATGTCACGTAGGAGTGGTGGGCCCCCAGTTGTCTTGCAGGGATGGTGGTCCCCAAGTTGTCCCACAGGGATCGTGGGCCCCAAGTTGTCCACTAGGGGTGATGTCATGTGGGGATGATGGTCCCCAGATTGTCCTGTGGGGGTGGTGGGCCCCATGTTGTCCCATAGGGATGGTGGTCTCCAAGTTGTCCTGTAGGGTGTCAGACCCCAAATTGTCCAATGGGGATGCTGTTCCCTCCTGTCCTATAGGGATGCTGGTCCCCAAATCATCCCGCAGGAATTCTGGTTCCCCCCGTCCCACAGGGATGCTGTCCCATGGGGATGCTGCTCCCCCTCTCCTGTGGGAATGCTGATCCCCCCCACCCCTGCCCCTCCAGCCCTCTCCAGGCAGGGTGGCACGCTCAGGGCTGCGGTGGGTGCCCACTGAGCGGTCCCTGGGCTCAGCCTGGCCCGTCCCTGGCCCGTGTTTCTGTCCTCCCAGCAGCCCTGCTGTGTGCACGTCTCCTGTCTCTGTGTGCTGTGTGACACTGGGGACACCCGTCCGTGTCTGAGCCACGTGTCTGTGACCTCCTGCTGGTTTCTGTTCTCCTCAACCCATGCCATCCATTGCTCCTCCCGGGGTAGTGCCAGTCTCAACTCCATCCATGCTCTCCCTTCCATGCCTGCCTGCCTCTCTCCACCAGGAGCTCTTCCCTCTGTGCCCTCTGTGCCCTCTGTGCCGCTCTCACCGTGTCTTTGTCTCGTCTCTAGGAGAAGCTCCCCGTGGACCTTTCTCAGCAGGATGGGATAGGATGGGATCCTTAGGAGTGTCCAGGTGTGAGGTTCTCCCCCAGGAAGTGCAGGAGGTTGAAGCAGCCCCTGCACTCATTGGATGAGTTACAGGTTGTTCATTCCGGCTCAGTTTGGGTTTCTCCCACCTCTGGAACTGCGTCCTGTTCTTTTAAGCTGATGTTTGATCAGGTATCAGCTGGGCTGAGCCTCCTGAAGTGCTTGGCAATCAGGATCCCACGCTGGGGATGTGTTTTGTTGGCTTTGTGCTCCTGCTGGAGGATTTCGAGGCTGCCAGACCCAGCTGCTGGAAAAGAATTTGTCAGGCTCCCAAAATCCCACTCAGAATAATCACAGCTGTTATTTTTAAGCCTCCATTTCTCTGTGTTCCTGGTGGGGGAATGGCTGGGAGTCAATCCCCCAGTATTTCCCTGTGGGAAGGGCTGTGATCCCATCAGGGGGGATTTTTTGCAGCCCTGGCTAGAGGGTTGTATTCTAGAGGCTAGAATATTAATATGTTAATATTAACATCTAGAACATTAATATGGTCCTTTTAATAGATTATTTAATATATCAATATTAAAAGATATATTAATATAGATTATATTATTATAAATTATGCATTTTATACAATGCATAATATATATAGAAAAATATAATTGTATTCTAATATATAAATATAAGAATATATAAATACATGTTATACAAGATATTAATTATATTATATTATGTATTATATGAATCAAATATATAGAATCTGGAAAATATAAAAAAAAAATTCCACTGAAGCCTCCCCCTCCCCTGTGCCTCCTTGAGAGGCTGAAAATTCCCAAATTTCTGGGATGAGCAGGGAATTCACGCTGCTCTGAGCATCAGCCACGCATCATTTCCACCGTGTTCCATGGAAAAGGGCCAGGAGCAGCAGGGTGAGCTCCTGGTGCACCTGCCATTCCTCCCTCTCCTTGATTTCAGCTCCCCTCCCTGCTGCCCAGCGCACATCTGCTTCCAGGAGCTGCATCCTGGTGGGGCAGGAGCAGAAAATGGGGGAATGGATCAAACCCGGGGCTCTGTCTGCCGTGCTGGGGCTGCAGAGCGCCCGTGACAGCCCCAGGCAGCCCTGGAGCCCAGCCCCAGGAGGTGTGAGCGGATTTTTTTAGCCCTGTCAGCTCTGGAAAGGAACAGGAGAAGCTCAGAGCTCAGGGCTGGGGAGCTGTGGGAATGCAGAGCTGGGAAGGGCTTGGCAGAGCTTTAACCCCTCTTTAACAAGCACCTGCCTGACAAACCCTGAGCTCTCCCGCCTTTTCCAGCAGCCAGGCCAGGGAGGCAAAGCCAAACAAAACCATCCAAGCCATTAAAAGGGAGGAAAGTGATTGGGAGAACAATTGGAAAACACATCACACAGGAATTTCTATTTTGTAGCTAGCTGTTTAGAGCTCGCTTGTTTGTTTGTTTTCAGCTCAGGTCTTCATTCAAAAACAGGTTTTGCAATTTCAGTTGGTAAAATAATAATTCTTGATAAGCATTCACCATGAAATGTATTGGTTTGAATCCCTCTGGGTGCTGCAGCTGAGAAGGAAGGGATGGGGTGAGGCTGACGTGGCCAGGAGTGAAGGGAAGAAGGAAGGAAGGTGTCTGTAGTTGCATCTGTCTTTTCCTCTCTCTGCTGTCCTCTCTTTCTCTCTCTCTCTTTCCCCTTTTGTCTGTCTTGTGTTTTACAGTGTTGCCTGTGTGGAGGAAGGAATTCTGTCCTGGCACCACCCTCCTGCTCCCTGCCCGGACACCTCAGCTGGGAGCTGCCCCTGCTCCGTGGCCCCCTCACTGCTCCCACCTGGCTCTAGCTGGGCCTGAGAGCCCCCAGGATGGAGAGCTTGCCCTGGGCTCTGTCCCACCCCTGGCCCCAAACCCTGCTGCAGTGGAAATTGCTCTTGCCCGGTGCCCGCTGTGCCCTCCAGGCAAAGGAGAGTGGGAGCAGAGGTGGGTGCTGGGAGCCCCCCACTCCTCAGCCAGCCCCCCCAGGGCTGCTGCATCACCCTGGATGCTCCTGGTTGATTTTCCCTCTCCTTCTGCTCCCAACTGACCCCCATGGCTTCCCCAGATCCTCCTGCCTGGAGCTGTGCCTGCCCAGGGCCGCCCCAGCTGTGCCGCCCCAGCTGTGCCGCCCCAGCTGTGCTGTGTGTCCCGCTTGTCCCCTGTCCCAGCCCAGGGCTCCCTCCCAGCTCCCTCTGCCAGGCTCACAGGAGCTGGTTCTGCTCGGAATTGGCTCCTCCCTGGGAATGTTCCCTGTGGAATTGGCGACTCTGTATGGGGGACATGGTTAGGGGACAAAAAAGGGACACAAACGTGGAACAGCAGCCCAGGGAGTAACTCCTGGTGCTTGGGAAGAGCTCAGAGCTGCAGGGAAGTTGGGGACAGAGCTGGAGCCGTGTCCTTGTGCCTGAATTTGGGCACAGAGCTGTGTCCATGCCTGAGCTGGGGACAGAGCTGTGTCCTTGTGCCTGAGCTGAATTTGGGCACAGAGCTGTGTCCATGCCTGAGCTGGGGACAGAGCTGTGTCCCTGTGCCTGAGCTGAATTTGGGCACAGAGCTGTGTCCTTGTGCCTGAGCTGAATTTGGGCACAGAGCTGTGTCCCTGTGCCTGAGCTGAATTTGGGCACAGAGCTGTGTCCTTGTGCCTGAGCTGAATTTGGGCACAGAGCTGTGTCCCTGTGCCTGAGCTGTCCCCTGTCCCTGTTCCTTTGCAGACCCTGGCCCTAGGCTGGGTTAGGTGGGCAGATCCTGCTCCAGGCCCTTCCTGCCTGGCACGGGGTGCCGCAGAGGTGCCACCGCCGTGCTGGTGCAGGGGAGGTGCCCAGGGCATGCAGAGGGACCTTGCCCAGCTCTCTGCCTGCTGCCAGGGCTGTGCTGTGTCTGCTGTCGCTCCATCTCCTCCAGGCTGTGTTGTCTGTCCCCACCTGTGTCCTTGTCCTGTGTCCTTGTCACTGTCCAGCCCAGGTGAACCCCGTGGTGTCCTTTCCTTGTCCCAGAGGGTCACAGGGCAGTGCTGGCTCTGTCCCCAGCAGCACGGCCACCCCTTCCTCAGCTCTGGGTGCTGGGGGGATTCCTGGCTGGGAGCTGGGGTGAGCCCCTGGGCTGTCCCTGCCTGCAGGGAGCGGGACACGGCCTCTGCTGGCACTTTGCCACCACTGGGGAGGTGGCACTGCTGGGCTGGGGCTGTGCGTCCAGGGGGAATCTGGGCTGGGGGAAGGACACGGGATGTGCCCATCCTGCCCCACAGCAGCTCCCAGGGAGGAGGAGGGAAGAGGATGGGGTGAGGGATGAGCAGCAGGGTGGAACCAGGGGTGTCCTCCCCAGCCAGCTCCTCTTTGCTGGGAGCAGTGGGATCCCAGGGATGGGAGCTTTTCAGGGGGCAGTGTGATCCCAGGGAAGGGAGCTGATTTGCAGTGGATCCCAGCAGTGAGCCGTCCCTGTGGGAGCTCTCTGGAAGGTTCTGCCAGTGCTGTTTCTCGCATTTCTGGCCAGGGGACGCAGTGCCCATCCTGTCCCTGTCCCCGTGCCCATCCCTCACCTGTGCCAGGCACGGGGGCCGTGCTGAGCCGGGCATGGCAGGGTGACAGGAGGGCGCAGAGCCCAGCAGCCCTGCACACCCGCCACGGCTCGGGGCGGGCAGGTGCCCCATGGGGCACTGTGACATCCCGCCCCGTGCCAGCCGTGCCATCCCTGTCCCCTGCAGACCTGGGTGCTCCCAGCCCCTGCCTGAGCGTGGAGTGCTCCTTCGGGGCCACGTGCGTGGTGAAGAACCAGGAGGCCGTGTGCGAGTGCCAGCAGCAGTGCCAGGGCCGCTACGACCCCGTGTGCGGCACCGACCAGCGTAGCTACGGCAGCGCCTGCGAGCTGCAGGCCATGGCCTGCCTGCTGCAGAGGGACATCGGCGTCAGGCACAAGGGGCCCTGCGGTGAGACACGGCCGGGTGGGACTGGGGTGGGTGTGTCATCAAAGGGGACATCAGGGTCAGGGACAAGGGGCCCTGCGGTGAGACACGGCCAGGTGGGACTGGGGTGGGTGTGTCATCAAAGGGGACATCAGGGTCAGGGACAAGGGGCCCTGCGGTGAGACACGGCCGGGTGGGATTGGGGGGACATTGGTGTCAGGGACAAGGGGCCTTGTGGTGAAATTTGGGCTGGGATTGTGGTGATGGTGGTGGTGGCTGTGTCCTCAGAAGGGACATTGAAGCGAAGGACAAGGGGCTCTGATGTGAGATTTGGGCTGGGATTGTGCTGGTGGTGGTGGTGGTGGCTGTGTCCTCAAAGGGACATCAGCATCAAGGACAAGGAGCCCTGTGGTGAGATTTGGGCTGGGATTGTTGTGGTGGTGTTGTTGTTGTTATTGTTGGCCTGTGTGTGTCGTCAAGAGGAACACCAGGGTGAAGGACAAAGGATGTGATGAGATTTGGGTAGGGAGATTATTTTGTGGTGGTTAAAAGAAAAACCTCCAGGGCGGGATAAAACCCTCCAGGCCAGGATGAAAATATCCAGGCTGGGATGAAAATGACCAGGCCAAGATGAAAACCTCCTGGTTGTGATAAAAACCTTCAGGCCAGAATAAAAACCTCTAGACCAGGATAAAAAACACCAGTCCAGGATAAAAACCAGAACAAAAACCTCCAGGCCAGGATAAAAACCACCAGGCTAGGACAAAAACCAGGACAAAAAGCGCCAGTCCAGGATAAAAACCAGAATAAAAACCTCCAGACCAGAATAAAAGCCTCCAGGCCAACAGCAGGAGCTGAGCAGGGGGCTGGTGCCTCCTCCTCCCCCATGCCAAGGCAGCAGCTGCTGTGTGCAGGAGCAAAGCAGGAAAAGCACCTTGGAGCCAAATTCCTGGTGAAATGACTGGCAGGGAGGGAGGGAGGTGTTGGGAGGGGAGGATGAATCAGTGAATCCCCAGGAGTCAGGGGATGTGCTTGCTGCTGTCTCCTGCAAGGAGGGAGAGCTGCTCAGAGAGGGTTTTTCTTTTTGATACAAAATCAAGGGTTTTTGTGCCCCCAGTAAAAAACCAAATGTGAACCTTAATGTGAAGCTCAGAACTACACACGAAAGCAGCACGGAATCTGAAAATTAGAAAAGCTGAAACCTGAGGCATCTGTGCAGAATCTGAAAAATAGAAAAGCCAAAACCTGAGGCGTCATTTCCCTGCTTTAGAAGCTTGACAAGGCCTTTACCTTGTTGAGTCTCTATTCTAAAAATTTCCTAGAAATAGGAAAAATATAATAATTTTATATAAATAATAATATATAAAAACACAATATTTCCTAATACTAGCTAATGATAGGTATTTAATAACAGATAAGTGGGGAGGTTGCCAGAGAATCTGTGCCTGCCTCATCCCTGGGAGCATCTGGGCTGAAGAGCAGAAGCTGTCCCTCAAAAATGAACTTTAACTCCAAAACAGACAATTTATATAAAAATATATACAAATAGAATAGTATTTCCTAACAATACCTAATAATAGGTATTTAGTAACAGATTGTGGGGAGGTTGCCAGAGAACCTATTGCGGCCTTATCCCTGGGAGCATCTGGGTTGAATCACACTCAAAACGAGCTTTACCTCCGCCCCACAATGACCAGCCCGGCCTCCGGAGCCGCTCTAACTGTGTTTCTGCCCTGCCGTGCCCAGAGCCCTGCGGGAAGTGCCAGTTCGGTGCCATCTGCGAGGCGGAGACGGGGCGCTGCGTGTGCCCCACCGAGTGCGTGCCCTCGGCGCAGCCCGTGTGCGGCACCGACGGCAACACCTACGGCAGCGAGTGCGAGCTGCACGTCAGGGCCTGCACCCAGCAGAAGGACATCCTGGTGGCTGCCCAGGGCCCCTGCAGTGAGTGTCACCACGGCCCCTTTGTCCCCCTCTTTGTCCCCCTCTTTGTCCCCCGTGTCACCGATGCTCGGCCCTGCGCGGATTTGGTCGCTCTCACGCCCTGCCTGGGTGGTTTTGCCTTTTACCTGGGGGATAATTTGATATTTCCAGGCTCTCCAGCAGCTTTGGTTTGGTTTCCCCCCATCACTGGAAGTGCCCCCCATGTTATTTGTCTGAGCCAAGCAGAGAAATTGGATTAATGTCCGTGGGGCCAGGGTAGGAATTAGGATAAAAATGTGTTAACAGCCAGCAGCAGAAGTGAGAGCAGAGCTGTGTTTGATCCCCTCCCTCCGCTCCATCCCCTGGGGTCAATTCCTCTTTGTTCCTGCTTTCCTCCCCACTCCCCAGCCCGGGGAGCTGTCTGGGCTAATTTCTTAATGAATTAAAAGCCCTGCTCAGCTCCTTCGTTATCACAAAAGCTGCGATGATGATTTCAGCCTCGCACAAACCTGTCCTCAGCTGGGCTGAGATTCCCCAACAATTCGGGGGAGGACGGCTGAGGGTGGCAGAGTAAATGATGAAATGGGATTTATTTCCCTCCAGAAAGAGCTGCTGGGAATCCAAAATACTTGGGGTGGGCACCCAGTTTGCAGGGTGCCTAATTTAATATTTCCTATTAAATCAGGAATAACAAATTAAATTAATAATGAATTAACAACAAGCTAATAACGATAATGGTGCCAGCTCTGCGCCAACGCCCCGGCGGCCGCGGGAGCCGCTCGGGGTGCCTGAGGGTGTCCCTCCCTGTGCCCCAGAGTCGTGTGGCAGCTCGGTGTGCTCCTTCGGCAGCCGCTGCGTGGCCGGGCAGTGCCTGTGCCCGCGCTGCCAGCGCCAGCCCCCGGCGCCCGTCTGCGGCACCGACGGCGTCACCTACGGCAGCCCCTGCCAGCTGCAGGAGGCCTCGTGCCAGCTGCAGAGGAGCATCGAGGTGGCCAGGATGGGACCCTGCGAGGACGGTACGTTGGTGCTGGTTCTGCAGGGGTGGGGCAAAGGGAGGGAGGAGGGAGGGGAGCTTCACCTGCTGTGCCCTGAGACCCCAAACCCCTTAGAGCATGTCCCTCTATGCCCTGAGACCCCAAACCCCTTAGAGCATGTCCCTCTGTGCCCTGAGACCCCAAACCCCTTAGAGCATGTCCCTCTATGCCCTGAGACCCCAAACCCCTTAGAGCATGTCCCTCTGTGCCCTGAGACCCCAAACCCCTTAGAGCATGTCCCTCTATGCCCTGAGACCCCAAACCCCTTAGAGCATGTCCCTCTATGCCCTGAGACCCCAAACCCCTTAGAGCATGTCCCTCTGTGCCCTGTGAGACCCCAAACCCCTTAGAGCATGTCCCTCTGTGCCCTGAGACCCCAAACCCCTTAGAGCATGTCCCTCTGTGCCCTGAGACCCCAAACCCCTTAGAGCATGTCCCTCTGTGCCCTGAGACCCCAAACCCCTTAGAGCATGTTCCTCTATGCCCTGAGACCCCAAACCCCTTAGAGCATGTCCCTCTGTGCCCTGTGAGACCCCAAACCCCTTAGAGCATGTCCCTCTGTGCCCTGAGACCCCAAACCCCTTAGAGCATGTCCCTCTGTGCCCTGTGAGACCCCAAACCCCTTAGAGCAGCAGGTCCTGTGCCAGCCATGCTTCCCTCACTGCCCAAAGGACCCCCAGCACCCCCAGTCCTGTTCCAGCCCCCTTCTAATTCCAACCCCCATTCCAAAATCCCAGTTTTTTCCAATTCCAGCCAAACTACAGGGAGGAGTCTTTTCCCTATTTCCCACCTAAATTTCCCAGTTTTCAGTTGGAATCCATTCCCCCTTGTCCTCTCTCTGCATCCCATGTAAATTTTCCCTCTTTTTTCCCCATATCCCACCTAAATTTCCTGGTTTTCAGTTTGAAGCCAATCTCCCCTGCCCTGTCTCTGCATCCCATGTAAATTTTCCCCCTTTTTTCCCTATTTCCTCCCCAAACCTTAGGGTTTTCAGTGGAAATCCATTCCCCCTTGTCCTGTCTCTGCATCCTGTGTAAATTCTCCCTCTCCAGTGCCATCCCTGGGCCCTGGCAGGAGTTTGGTCCTGGATGATTTTTAAGCTCCCTTCCGTCCCATCCCACGGCTCTGTTGCCTCAGCAGAGCTCCAGGGAAGGTTTTGGGGTCGGCTCGGTGAGCCTAAAAATAAAAACGCGCCGAGTTTTCCCACTCGGGGGAAGCTGTGGGCTCTGCTGGCACAGGAGGGAGCCGAGGGTGCCGGGCACACATGGGGAGGACGTCAGAGCAGGGCACAGGGAGAACACAGAGCAGGGTGTTAGATCACAGCCCTGCTCGGGGGATTTCAGGTTGCTGTCCCTCCTCAGGCAGAGCCTGAATAATTCTGTGTGTAATGCCAAAGCCCAGCCTTTGATCACGCCAGAAAAAGGGCCAGGTTCCCCTTCCCCCATCCCTTTTCCCCTTCCAGCAGCCTTTGAAATCAGCCACATCTCTGCCGCTGCTGCTGCTGCTGCTGCTCATCCTGCAGAGCTCCAGGGGCTTCGGTCCTCTCCCACCCCAAATCCCAGCCCCAAATCCCAGCCCCAAATCCCAGCCCTTCCCCAGCTCCACGTCACCCACAATCTCCCTGTGCACACTTTGGGGTGTTTATTTGGGATTTAGGTTTCTGAATCACTGGGATTTAGGTACCTGTTTAGCTGGGATTTTGGTTTCTGTTTATTTGGGATTTTGGGTCCTGCGCAATTGGGATTTAGTTTCCTGTATAACTGGGATTTTGGTTCCTGTCTATTTGGTGTTTTAGTTCCCGTTTATCTGGGATTTTGGGTCCTGCACAGTTGGGATTTAGGTTCCTGGATCAAGGCATGGAGTAGAACAAAAGAAATAATTACTTTTGTAGAGTGTTTTAGCAAGAGGAAGAACCTCTTCCTCCAACTCACGTTTTTCTCTGTAAAATTTTTGTTACTTTACCTTTTATTAAACCTTTTCCTATTTCCAACACCACCTCCAATAATTCTACACCATCCCAAGCAGCAGAACTGTCTCCAGTGTAACAAATTCACCTTAAATCTCAATAAACCAAGCTCAGGGATTAACCCTTCCTTCCCTCCCTGTTCCCAGAGTGTGGCTGAGGGGATGGCAGTGACTGTGAGCAGGATCCAAGCTCAGGGATTAACCCTTCCCTCCCTGTTCCCAGAGTGTGGCTCGGGGGGCTCGGGCTCGGGGGATGGCAGTGACTGCGAGCAGGAGCGCTGCCGCCACTTTGGGGGCTGGTGGGACGAGGACGCCGAGGACGAGCCCTGCGTCTGTGACTTCACCTGCGCGGCCGTGCCCCGCAGCCCGGTGAGCCCTGCCCTCCTGTCCCCTCCCCGGCTGGCACAGCCCTGCCAGGGCTGCCCTGAGCTGTGCCCTGGCCCTGCTGCTGGCAGGTGTGTGGCTCTGACGGCGTCACCTACGCAAACGAGTGCGAGCTGAAGAAGACGCGGTGTGAGAAGCGCCAGGAGCTCTTTGTCAGCAGCCAGGGAGCCTGCCGGGGTGAGTCCCCTCCTGCTCCTGGGTGTGTCCCCTGGGGAGGCCATCCCCCCTCTGGGTGTGTCCCTGGGCGTGTCCCTTTTTGTGTCCCTTGAGAGAAGCCATGCTTACCTGGCTGGGTGTGTCCCCGGGTGTGTCCCTGGGTGTGTCCCCTAAAGGAAGCCATGCCCTCCCTGCTGGGTGTGTCCCCTGAGGCCAGCCACCCCTCCCTGCTGGCTCTGTCCCCAGCTCTGTCCCCACCTGTGTCCCTGCTGTCCTTTCCCTGTGCATAAGCAGGAATTGCTGTCAGGGGCCACCCCCTGTCCCTGTCCCGGCCTCCCCTGCAGTTCCCAGCGCCTCCAGGAGCATTTATGGGAACGCTGCCACATCCCGGGTGCTGAGGTGACCCTTGTGTCCCTGTCCCCTCCCCTGCAGCCCTGGCCACCACCCCGCCACCCCTGCTGGTCGTGCACTGCAGCCAGAGCGTCTACGGCTGCTGCCCCGACAACGTCACCCTGGCGCTGGGCGTGGGAGCTGCTGGATGTCCCAGTGAGTGCCACCCCCGGGGACCCTCGGGGGGCTGCAGGGAGGGTCTGGGGTGCTGCCCCCGGGAGATGAGGCTGGACTCTCCCCAGATGTGGGATTGTGGGGTATTCAAGGTGGAAAACCCTCCCGAGCTGCAGCACCGCTGTGGTCACCACAAAATCCTGTCCCCAAGTGCCACATGCCAGCCGTGAGCCACATGCTCAGGGTTCTGAGCATTTCCAGGGATGGTGATTCCAGTGCTTCCCTGAACAGCCCATTCCAAACCTGACCACGCTTCCAGTGAACAAATCTTCCCAAATATCCCACCTGAACCTCCCCTGGTGCAGTTTTTCCTCTGGTCCTGTCCCTTGTCTCTGAGAGAAGGGACTGACCCCTCCTGCCCCACAACCTGCCACTGCTGGTGATCCTCCAAAATCCCTGAGCCACCTCCCAGGCCTCAATCCCACTTTGGGTGTCCCCAGAGGTGCCTCCAGGGCCTTGGTTCCACTGGGCTCAGGCATTTCCACCTGCCAGAGTGACAGAATATTCCATGGAGGGGAACGTGTCACCTGGGACCTTCCAGAGGCCCAGTGACAGCTGGGTGACCCCCTGAGCAGGAAGCTGAGCCGGCCAGGGGCTCATTAATATTTATTCACTAATTATCCGAGCCAGCAGGAGCGTTTTAAAGGCTCTGAACAGCTGAGGCTGTGGCTGCCTGATGGGGGAAACATCAGCCCGTGGAGACACAGCTCCAGGGTGGGGTAATGCTGAGCAGGCAGAGCTGGATAATGTGGGAAAAACAGCTGGATAATGGGAAAAAATCAGGTGGATAATGGGGGAAAAAGCAGCTTGGATAATGGGGGAAAAAACAACTGGATAATGGGGGGAAAGCACCGCTGGATAATAGGGGAAAGGCAGCTGAAAAATGGGGGGAAAGCAGCTGGAGAATGAGGGGGAAAGCAGCTGGATAATGGGGGGAAAGTCAGCTGGATAATGGGGGAAAATCAGCTGGATGATGTCCCTTTCTGTCTCCTCCCCGCTGGGACAAGGACAGCGCCTGGCTGTCTATCTTTCGTTGCCTCCCCTCCATCAAGCTGCTCGTTAATGAATTAATAATCACCCTCTAATAGCTTCCTTCCCCTTTGATGTTAATGAGAGACGAGCTCTTGATGGCATCGAGCTCCTGGTGGCAGCCTGGGGGCCGATGGCGAGAGCAGCTGGTGGCGCAGGGCGGTGACACGGGTGTCCCTGCGTCCCTGCCCTCAGGCACGTGCCAGTGCAACCCCTACGGCTCCTACGGCGGCTCCTGTGACCCGGGCACGGGGCAGTGCTCCTGCAAGCCCGGCGTGGGCGGCCTCAAGTGCGACCGCTGCGAGCCCGGCTTCTGGAACTTCCGCGGCATCGTCACCGACGGACGCAGCGGCTGCACCCGTGAGTGACGGGACAGGGACAGTGCCCGAGGGGGTCAGGGTGTCACCCATGAGTGACAGTGAGGAGACACCCCTGAGTGACAGGCATGAGGCACCCCATGACTGGGACAAGGGTGTCACCCCCTGAGTGACAGTGAGGGGACACTGCCCAGGGGTGGGACAGGGGTGGGACAATGCCCTGACAGGGATGGGACACTTCCCTGAGTGACAGGGATGTCCCATCACTATCCCCCTTCCCCTATGGCTGCCAGGCCCCCCTTTCCCACCCTATAACTGCATTTTCCTCTTTCTCACCCCATACCTGTGTTTTTCCCACCCCATGCCTGTTCTCCCTCCATCCCCACACCGTGCCCCATGTCCCTGTTCCCACCCCATACCCGTTCTCCCCGCCCCACGCCGTGCCCTGTCCCCGCTGCAGCGTGCCACTGTGACCCCGTGGGCTCGGTGCGGGATGACTGCGAGCAGATGTCGGGGCTGTGCTCCTGCAGGACGGGCATCACGGGCATGAAGTGCACCCAGTGCCCCGACGGCAGCACCCTGGGCACCGCCGGCTGCCACAAGGGTGAGGGGCTCTGGGCTTTGGGGTTTGGGTCCTGCTTGTTTGGGGTTTGGGTCCTGCTTATTTGGGGGTTTGGGTCCTGCAGCACTGAGGGTTTCTGTCCTGTTTATTTAGGGGTTGGGATCTTGTTTATTTGGAATTTGGGACCCTGTTTATTTGGGGTTTTGGGTCCTGCATAACTGGGATTTCGGCACCTGTCTATTTGGGATTTTGGCTCCTGGTTAACTGGAATTTTGGCTCCTGCCAATTTGGGATTTTGGGACCTGTCTATTTGGGATTTTAGCTCCTGTCTGTTTGAGATTTTGGCTCCTGTCTGTTTGGGATTTTGGGACCTGTCTATTTGGGATTTTGGCCCCTGTCTGTTTGGGATTTTGGCTCCTGTCTGTTTGGGATTTTGGGACCTGTCTATTTGTGATTTTGGCTCCTGTCTGTTTGGGATTTTGGCTCCTGTCTGTTTGGGATTTTGGGACCTGTCTATTTGGGATTTTGGCCCCTGTCTGTTTGGGATTTTGGCTCCTGTCTGTTTGGGATTTTGGGACCTGTCTATTTGTGATTTTGGCTCCTGTCTGTTTGGGATTTTGGCTCCTGTCTGTTTGGGATTTTGGGACCTGTCTATTTGGGATTTTGGCTCCTGTCTATTTGGGATTTTGGCTCCTGTCTGTTTGGGATTTTAGGACCTGTCTATTTGGGATTTTGGTTCCTGTCTGTTTGGGATTTTGGCTCCTGTCTATTTGGGATTTTGGCTCCTCTCTATTTGGGATTTTGGCTCCTGTCTATTTGTGATTTTGGCTCCTGTCTATTTGGGATTTTGGCTCCTATCTGTTTGGGATTTTGGCTCCTGTCTGTTTGGGATTTTGGCTCCTGTCTGTTTGGGATTTTGGCTCCTGTCTGTTTGGGATTTTGGCTCCTGACTAACTGGGATGTTTCCCGGCTCCCCTCTCGCCCTGCCCAGACCCCTCAGCCCCCAGGTCGTGCGAGGAGCTGAGCTGTGACTTCGGGGCCTCGTGCGTGGAGCTCAACGGCTTCGCCCACTGCGAGTGCCCGTCCCCGCTGTGCCCTGAGGCCAACACCACCAAGGTTTGGGGACGCTCCTCTGGGGGCTTTCGGGTGGGACACAGAGTCCTGCAGGAGCTGTTCCCTGCTGGGCAAGGGGGACACACGGGTCACAGATGTCCCCTGGCACCCCTGAGCCACCCTGGGTCCCTCTGTGCCCCAGAGGAGCCCCCAGAAACACTGCCAGCATTCAGCTCTGGTGTCCCCTGATGTCCCCAGGTGTGTGGCTCTGATGGTGTCACCTACGGGGACCAGTGCCAGCTGCGGACCATCGCCTGCAGGCAGGGCCAGCACATCACGGTCAAGCACGTGGGGCAGTGCCACGGTGAGTGTCCCCTGGGGGCAGTGCCATGCCCAGTGCCCCCAGGACAGTACCACACTCAGTGTCCCCTGGGCAGTGCCAGCCCCGTGCCCTCAGGTTCCACCCCACGGGACATCCCCTCGCACAGCAGCTGCCCTTCCCAAGCTTTGTCCCCCCTCCCCAGTGCCACCCCCTCACCTCCGTGTCTGTGTCCCTGCAGAGTCCATCGCGCACACGATCTCCCCGGCGTCCCCCACGCCGCTGCCCACGGTGCCCCCGGAGCTGCCCGCGCCCCCTCGGGCCACCCCGCGCTCCCCCCTGCCCACCGGGGCGGCCACCGGCCCGTCACCGCCGCCAGCCAGGCCCACGGAGCGAGGCCACCCCACCACCAGGCGTGTGACAACGGCCAGGCCGGCCACCACCACGGCCTGGGTCACCCACGGCGTGCACAAGGCCACCGTCCGCCCGCTGGCCACCGTGCCCGTGGTGGCGGCCACCAGCCAGCCCGGCTACGGCGAGTCCGGCAGCGCCGAGGGCAGCGGGGACCAGGACATGGGCGCCAGCGGGGACCAGGAGGCCAGCGGGGCGGGATCTGCCGGTGAGTGCCACCCCCGGGCTCTGGGGGAGCTCCGAGTGTCCCCTGGGCACTGGGTGTCCCCAGGGTAATGCCACTGAATGTCCCCAGGGCAGTGCCACGCTCAGTGTCCCCTGGGCAGTGCCACACTTGAGTGTCCCCAGGCCACTGGGGGCTGCCCCCTGGTGTCTTCAGCCCTGCCCTGGGTGTCACCATGAGCAGGGCAGGTGCCATGCAGAGGTGTCACTGCTGGGTGTCCCCCGTGTGTCCCCCAGGTGAGGAGGAGCCTGACGAGGGCCAGGTGACAGCCACGCCTGCCATCGAGAGGGCCACATGCTACAACAGCGCCCTGGGCTGCTGCTCCGACGGCAAAACCGCAGCCGCCGACGCCGAGGGCACCAACTGCCCCGGTGAGACTGGGAATGGGGTCTGGGGTCCCTTGGGGTCCCTTTGGGGTCAGGAGTTTGGGATCTCTCAGGGTGGGAGGACACAGAACTGCCCAGCTGGATTTGGGGCTGAAGGAAAGGTTTGGGATCACTCTGGGGTCAGGAATCAGGGGCCACATCACAGATTTTTCCTCACTCAAGTTCTTCCTTGTTCCTTGGGGTTTCCAGTGGAACGTCCCATTTGCCTCTGGAAAAAAAACCAACACTTTCCCTTTTAACCCATAAAGGATTAAAAGTTCTGTGTGGAGGGAAAGAGAGAGGGAAAAGGGAAAGGGAAAGGAAAAGGAAGAGGGAAAGTGAAAATGGAAAGGGAAAACGGAAAGGGAGAGAGAAGGGGGAAAGGAAAAGGGAGAGGGAGAGGAGAAAGGGAAAGGGAAAATGGAAAGGAAAAGGAACCTCCTGAGTGGTTCCCACAGCAGGATCTCTCCATCCTCTGCATCCCCAGGGCAGGATCCAACCCTGGCACTCTGCTGCAGCTCCAGGCTGGTTTGGCAGGGCTGTGGCTGCCCTGTGCCAGGTGTCCCCCTGGCCCCCAGCCCCGGGTGGCCCCGCTGTGCCCCGTGGGTGCCCCCGGGCCCTGTCGTGTCCTCTGTCCTCTAACGTGTTTCTCTTGTCACCCAGCGGTGCAGGGGGGCTGCTCTCCGGGCCGGAGCTCGCAGGAACCCGTCTGGTAAAAGCTGCCATCTCCAGCCTGGTCCTTGCCATCTGCTCCAGCACTAATCCTCCATGGCTGTGCCCGCCCCATCCCGACTAACCCGGCACTGGCACTACCCCCACACTGCCATCCCCCCTGCCAGGGACGCTCCCTCGCCGCCCCTGCCCAGCTCAAGGGCTTGTCTTGTGTTCCCTCCTCCCCCAGCCACCAAGGTGTTCCAGGGAGTGCTGATCCTGGAGGAGGTGGAGGGCCAGGAGCTGTTCTACACCCCGGAGATGGCCGACCCCAAATCCGAGCTCTTCGGGGAGACGGCGCGCAGCATCGAGAGCGCGGTGAGCACCGTGCCCCTCGTGGGGGCACAGCTGGCACCTGGCACCGAGGGGAGGGACACCCTGCTGGTGCCCCGAGAGGCTGCCCCAGAGCAGAGTCACAGAGAAAAGCAGGGGTTTTTAAAAGGGCCTCCTCAATGGATACCCTTGGGCCCACACCCAAGGTGAACCCAAAATGGTCACAAAATGGACGATGGTTCCCTGTCCCACTTGATTTATGGATCCTGTTCTTCCCTTGGCTCTAAAGAACAGCTGGAATTGTCACAGAAGATCCCTGTTCCATTTTATGGACCCTGTTCTTCCCTTGGCTCTAAGAACAGCTGGAATTGTTTATGGATCCTGTTGTTCCCTTGGCCCTAAAGAGCAGCAGGAATTGTCCCCTGTCCCCTCCCTGTCACCGGGCTGCCTTGCAAAGGCTGGGAAGCAAATCCAAGCCTGGATCTTTCCCTGGCAGGGTCCCCGTGTCAGGATCTCCCCATTAACCCTTTCCTTCCCCAGCTGGACGAGCTGTTCCGGGGTTCTGATGTCAGGAAGGATTTCAGGAGCATCCGAGTGCGGGACCTGGGCCAGAGCAGCGCCGTCAGGGTCATCGTGGAGGCCCACTTTGACCCAGGTGGGGCCATTCCCTGGCCATTCCCTGAGGGAATTCTGGCTGGGAAATCTGCCTGGGGAGGAGAAGGAAAGAACCATCCTAAAATTCACTGGGGTTGGGTCTTCTATCCTGCAAAATTTCTGTGTGAGCAGAGATGGGAGGAGATGCACACTAAGGAAGCTGGAAGGCTTTTCCTTGGGAAGGAAGGATTATTTTCCTTGGGAATGAAGGGATTATTTTCCTTGGAAAAGGAAGATTATTTCCATGGGAAAGGAGGGTTGTTTTCCTTGGGAATTGAGAGATTATTTTCTTTGGGAAGGAGGATTATTTTCCTTGGGAAAGGAGAGTTATTTTCCTTGGGAAAGGTGGTTTATTTTTCTTGAGAATGGAGGTTATTTTCCTTGGAAAAGGAGGGTTATTTCCATAGGAAAGGAGGTTTATTTTCCTTGGAAAGAAGGATTATTTTCCTTGAGAAAGGGTTTATTTTCCTTGGGAAAGGTGGTTTATTTTCTTTGTGATGGAGTATTATTTTCCTTGGGAAAGGAGAGTTAGTTTCATTGGGAAAGGATTATTTTCCTTGGGAAGGAGAATTATTTTCCTTGGAAAAGAGGATTATTTCCTTGGGAAAGGAGGGATTTGGGGAGGTCAAGGGAAGGAAATTCCCATTGGAATGCTCACTGTTGCCTCCCTCCTTTGCCCTCCTGGCTGGGCTCAGCCACGTCCTACACGGCCGCCGATGTGCAGGGGGCCCTGCTGAAGCAGCTCCGGGCTGCCAAGAGGAAAACCATCCTGGTGAAGAGGCCCCAGCAGGAGCACATCAAATTCATGGATTTTGGTGAGTGCCCCTCGCTTGCTTTGGGGTTTCACAATGCCTGGGGGGCTCTGCTGGTCTTGCCAACCCCTCAAAAGCTTCTCCAGAATGTTTGGGTTTGGGAGGGATCTTAGAGGGGTCTGGGCATGGGCAGAGATCTTTCAGAGTGTGCTTGGACACTTCCAAACCCACACCTGACCCTAAAACTAATACCTGACACTAAACCTAACGCACACTTGTCCCTAAAACAAACCCATACCTGACCCCAGCCCAAACCCACATCTGACCCTAAAACCAACCCTCAGCTGCCCCAAACCCCCAGCTGACCCCAAACCCACACCTGCCCCCAGTCAAGCCCAGCTGACCCCATCCCTGCTGTGTTCCAGACTGGATCCCCCGGCTCTTCACCACCACGGTCACCACCACCACGGCCACCACCATGGCCCCTGGCACCACGCGCAGGGTGCCCGCGGCCACCGCGGCCCTGGGGCAGCACGGGGAGCCCGCAGGCAGCCCCGGCCCCGTGGGCACCACCCGCAGCCCTGGCGGCAGCAGCAGGAGGGGGAAGCCCACCCAGCTGCCCCCTGGCACCCCCCTGGCACGGCCCTGCGAGTCCCAGCCCTGCCTGCACGGTGGCACCTGCCAGGAGGACGGGCATCACTTCACCTGCAGCTGCCCCGCGGGCACAGGAGGGGATCTCTGTGAGAAAGGTAGATGGTGATGTGAGAAATCACAAATTTGGGGGCTTAAAAGTCACTTCTCACCCTGTGATGTGGGTAGGATGCCACCCTCCCTGTGCCAGGTTGTGCCAGGCTGGATTTGGGCATTTCCAGAGATGGGAAACCAGCTAAAACCCCGCTCACCTGGAGCTCTGCAAGCTGTGGGTGTCCAGCCCTGCTGGTTTAATGGGATTTGACCTCCTAAATCCCATGGAAAATGACAGTGGGTGTCCAGCCCTGTTGGTTTTATGGGATTTGGAGTCCCAGATCATCCCAAGGGAGGCACAGACAAGTTGCCCTTTTCATGAACCCAGCTCAATAAAAGTTGCCTTTTTCCCCCCTTTTTCCCCTGCTTTCCCCCACCTTTTTTCCCCCCACTTTCTTTCTTCTCCCTTTCTTTCTTCCCCCATTTCTTCCCCTGGTCTTCACCCTTTCCCCCCCTTTCCCCCCCTTTTTCCCCCCGTTCTTCCCCCCTTTTCCCCCTCTCTTCCTCCTCCTGTTTTCCCCATTTTCCCCCCATTTCCTCCCTTTTTTCCCCTGTTCTCTCCCCGTTCTCCCCCCATTTCCCCCCCCCCTTCCCCCCTGTTTTCCCCCTAGCCCCGAGCGGGTCCATCCCCAGTTTCGGGGGCAGCTCGGTGCTGGCGTTCCGGACCATGCGCGCGTACCACACCGTCAGGATCTCCATGGAGTTCCGCGCGCTCGAGCCCCGCGGGCTGCTGCTCTACAACGCCCAGCGCCACGGCAAGGACTTCATCTCCCTGGCGCTGCTCGGGGGCTTCGTGGAGCTCAGGTCAGCCTGGGATGGGGATTGTGTCCTCAAAGGGGGAATCTGTATCCCAGCGGGGGAATTGGCATCCTAAAAGGCCTCCAAGTGGGCAAAAATCCGGATTTTTTGGGGTGTGTGTCACTGGAATACTGAGGGAGCTCATTCCCTCTTTTCAGTGAAGTGAACTAACTTTGAGTGAGTTCAGAAAGCTCTGCAGTGTAGGAGGCTGGGTTTTTTGGCAGGTTGGTTTTTTGGCAGGTTTGGGGTTTTTTTGGCAGGTTGGGTTTTTTTGAGAGATCTTTTTTTGGTAGAGTTTTTTTTAACTGGGATGAGAAATGTGGAGAGGGGGGGAAAAAAGGGAAGGGAGAAAAGAGCCAGAGTGGCTTTTTTTGTATTCCAGAATCCAACGGGGATGAGGGAAGGGAAGGGAAGGGAAGGGAAGGGAAGGGAAGGGAAGGGAAGGGAAGGGAAGGGAAGGGAAGGGAAGGTCCCCAAGAGCTCCCAGTGCCAGTCGCGCCTGGCACAGCCCAGCTGGCACCTTGAAGAACCCCAAGCCGTGTTTTGTCAGGTTTGACACGGGCTCTGGCACAGGCACGGTCGCCAGCCGGGTGCCGGTGGAGCCGGGGCGCTGGCACCGGCTGCTGGTGACGCGGAACCGGCGCACGGGCACGCTGGCCGTGGACGGGGAGCCCCCAGTGAGCGGGCACAGCCCCCCGGGCACCGACGGGCTCAACCTGGACACCGAGCTCTTCATCGGGGGAGTGCCCCACGAGCATATGGCGCTGTGAGTGTGGCACGGGGACAGGGAGGGTGGCACTCGGCCTGCAAGGGTGGCACTGCTACTGTGAGGGTGACACTGGGGCTGGGAGGATGCTGCCCCTTGAGGGGGGCACTGGGCCTGGCGGGTGGCACTGTGAGTGTGGCGTTGGGCCTGCAAGGGTGGCACTGCCCTGTGAATGTGCCGCTGCCCCCGAGTGGGGCCCTGCCACCCCCTGGCTACAAACCCTGTGCCCATGTCCCCTCAGGGTGGTGGAGCACAGGGGGGCTGTTCTAGAGCCCCCTGCCACCCCCTGTGCCACCCCTGGGCACAAACCCTGTGTCACCGTGTCCCCTCAGGGTGGCGGAGCGCACGGGTGTCACCGGCGGCCTGCGGGGCTGCGTGCGGGCCCTGGCCATCAACAACCGCGGGCACGAGCTGCACCCGGGCTCTGCCGACGTGCTGTACGCCACGGCCGTGGGCCAGTGTGGCACCGACCCCTGCCAGCCCAGCCCCTGCCACCACGGCGGCACCTGCCATGCCAGGGAGGCCGACATGTTCCACTGCCAGTGCCCCGAGGCCTACACAGGTACGGCGTGGGCACCGAGGGGGTTTGGGGTGTGGGGATTGTGGGGTCTGAGGGGGGTTTGCGTGTGGAGTGGGCACTGAGGGGAGTGCTGAGGGGGTTTTGGGGGTACAGGGATGGGCATTGTAGGGTTTTTACTCCTCTGCAGGGTCTGAGGGAGCTTTTAGGGTACCGGGATGGATATTGTGGTTTTCACCATTTCTGGGGGGTTCTGAGGGAGTTTTTGGGGCTGTTGTGCCAGTGCCTTGATGTCTGCATGCCCATGAGGGACATTGAGGACATGAGGGACACTGGGGACATTTGATACTGGGGATATATGGGACACTGGGGCAGTGGGGATTGGTGACAATGTCCCTGTCTCGCAGGCCCCACGTGTGCCTTCGAGAGGAACCCGTGCGAGCCCTCTCCGTGCCACGCCTCTGCCACCTGCCTGGTGCTGCCCACCGGGGGAGCCCTGTGTGCCTGTCCCATGGGCCGTGAGGGGGACCTGTGCGAGCGAGGTGGGATGGCAGGGCTGTCCCCAGCCCGGTGTGACCCCTGGGACACCTGCCGTGCCCCTGTCCCTCACGCTGCCCGCTTTGTGCCCAGTGACAGAGCAGGACCAGTCCGTGCCCTTCCTGCCCGAGTTCAACGGCTTCTCCTACCTGGAGCTCAACGGGCTGCAGAGCTTCGTGCCCGACCTGCAGTGAGTGCAGGGACAGGGGGGGACAAACCCCTGCCCCACAGCTGGCAGGGCTGGCATGGCTGGCATGGCTGCCACACCCACAGCCTCGGGGTTATCCTGAGCAGCTGGATGGGAGGGAAACCATAATCCACAATCTATAATCCATAACCCATAATCCTTAATCAATAACCTGTAGTCCATAACCCACAGTCCATAATCTATAACCCATAATCAATAATCCATAACCCACAGTCTACAATCCATAATCCATAACCCACAATCAAAAATCCATAATCAATTATCCATAAACCATAATCAATAATCCATAACCCACAATCCAAAACCCAGAGTCCACAATCCCTAACCCACAATCAATAATCAATAAACCCCCCCTGCTCTCCCAGGGACAAGATGTCCATGGAGGTGGTGTTCCTGGCCAAGAAGCCCAGCGGGATGATCTTCTACAACGGCCAGAAGACCGATGGCAAGGGGGACTTTGTGTCCCTGGCACTGCACGAGGGACACCTGGAGTACAGATATGACCTGGGCAAAGGGCCAGCCCTGCTCAGGTGAGGGCACTGGGGGCACTGGTGAGCCCTGGCTGATGCCTTGAGAGGCTGCCTTAGAACAGAGCTAAAGAATAAAGCAGGGATTTATGAAAAGTTTCTCCTCAATGGATCCACCGTGGGCAGCACAGGAGCCCAGCCAGGGCTGCACCCAAGATCAACCAAAATGGGCCCAAAATGATCCCAAGATGAACCAAAATGGTCCCAAAATGCACAGCCACTCACGAGGTCTGTCACTTTTACAAGTTCTGCTCCATTTGCATCTTGGAGTGAATTGTCCCATTCCAGCTTTAGCCCCTGCAGTCCCATCCTTGTTTTTCTCTCTCCAGCCCACGGTCTTTGTGCTCCTGGGCTGGGATTTGGATCATTTGTCCTTGGTGCCCAGCTGGAGCAGGAATTGCTTTGTCTCCCTGCTCTGTGCACAGAGCTCACCATCCCACAGCATGAAGCCCAGACCCACTGACTAAAGCAGCACAGAATGTGAAAAATAGAAAAGCCAAAACCTGAGACATCAGTGCAGAATGTGAAAAATAGAAAAGCCAAAACTTAAAGCATCCCCTGCTCAGGGCACCTTTCCAGGCAGGGTTTGTAGGTTCTGAGGGCAAAATTTATAACTTTGGCAGCAAATAATGACATTATTCAAAGTTTCAGCAGCAAAAGCCTCACTTTGCTGTTACAGCCTGTTTGTATCCAGTTTTCCAAGTTATTATGTTTAATTTCTAATTTCAGTTATTGTGTTTTTTCTAATTTCAACTTGCTTGCTGCTCAGTTCTTTGCTTAGGAGGTTCTTGTTTGTGTATGTGCTGAGACTTCTTTACACAGAGAGATATTATATTTTTTATATTATTTTTTAATTTTTATATTATTTTTATATTTTTAATACTATTTTTCTACGTTTTTAATATTTACTTCACGGATCCTCACAGACTTTTTATTTCCCACAGTTGCAAGCCTGCTTTTCTTACCAGAACAGATCGTTCTGCAAACTGATTTTCATTCTTGCGATTCTTTCTCGTGGGAACGTCACATGTTCACACATTCAGCTGAGCAAGGCCTGATTTTAGAAGGTTTTTTTAAGCTTTATTTTCCCTTTTTCGCCCCCAGGAGCAAGGAGCCCGTGCCCCTGGACACGTGGGTCAGTGTCCTGCTGGAGAGGAGCGGCCGCAAGGGCGTCCTGAGGGTCAACAACGGCCAGAGGGTCACGGGGGAGTCCCCGGTGAGTGGGGGGACCCCAGCCCTGCCCTGCTCACCTGGGGAGGAGTTTCTGAGGCTCCTGGGCTTTAAATCGTGGGTTTGAGTGGAATTCCTCAGGCTCCTGGGCTTTAAATTGTGGGTTTGAGGGTGGAAAAGTGGAATTTCTCAGGTTCCTGGGCTTTAAATTCTGGATTTGAGTGGAGTTTCTCAGGCTGCTGGGCTTTAAATCATGGCTCGGGTTCCTGAGCTTTAATTTGTGGATTTGAAGGTGGCGAAGTGGAATTTCTCAGGTTCTTGGGTTTTAAATTCTGGATTTGAGGGTGGAAGAGTGGAATTCTCAGGCTCCTGGCTTTAAACCATGGATTTGAAGGTGGAAAAGTGGAATGAAGGTGGAAAAAGTGGAATTTCTCAGGTTCCTGGGCTTTAGATCATGGATTTGAGGGTGGAGAAGCAGGCAGGGAGGGATCCCTGCATCCCTTGCAGCCCCTGTCCCTCCCTGTCCCCCCATCCCTGCCCGGGATCTCAGCCAGGTTTCGGGGATGCCTTGGATGAGCCCCCCACCCTCTCCTGGATCCCCCATCCCTTATTCCAGGTGCTCACCTGTCCCCTGTTGGCACAGCCACATGAGGCACCCCTGGGTCAGTAATTAATGGTTAATTAAGAGCCCCCCAGCAGTGAGAGGAGCTCAGGGAGCAGGAAAGCCCCAGGCCCCGCTGCTGCTGCTGCATCCCTTGGTGCTTGCTCTGCTCTCCTCCCAGCTGGGAATTCTGCAGTTCCAGCCTCTCCCTGTCCCTCCCTGTGCTGTGCCTGCATCCCTGGGGTCCCTTCCCTTCATTCCTGGGGTCCCTTCCCTGCATTCCTGGGGTCCCTGTGCTGTCCCTGCATCCCTGGGGTCCCTTCCTTCCCTGCATCCCTGGGGTCCCTTCCCTGCATCCCTGGGGTCCCTTCCTTCCCTGCATCCCTGGGGTCCCTGTGCTGTCCCTGCATCCCTGGGGTCCCTTCCTTCCCTGCATCCCTGGGGTCCCTTCCCTGCATCCCTGGGGTCCCTTCCTTCCCTGCATCCCTGGGGTCCCTGTGCTGTCCCTGCATCCCTGGGGTCCCTTCCCTGCATTCCTGGGGTCCCTGTGCTGTCCCTGCATCCCTGGGGTCCCTTCGCTGCATCCCTGGGGTCCCTGTGCTGTCCCTGCATCCCTGGGGTCCCTTCGCTGCATCCCTGGGGTCCCTGTGCTGTCCCTGCATCCCTGGGGTCCCTTCCCTGCATCCCTGGGGTCCCTTCCCTGCATCCCTGGGGTCCCTGTGTTGTCCCTGCATCCCTGGGGTCCCTGTGTTGTCCCTGCATCACTGGGGTCCCTTCGCTGCATCCCTGGGGTCCCTGTGCTGTCCCTGCATCCCTGGGGTCCCTTCCCTGCATCCCTGGGGTCCCTGTGCTGTCCCTGCATCCCTGGGGTCCCTTCCCTGCATTCCTGGGGTCCCTGTGCTGTCCCTGCATCCCTGGGGTCCCTTCCCTGCATCACTGGGGTCCCTGTGCTGTCCCTGCATCCCTGGGGTCCCTTCCCTGCATCCCTGGGGTCCCTGTGCTGTCCCTGCATCCCTGGGGTCCCTTCCCTGCATCCCTGGGGTCCCTGTGTTGTCCCTGCATCCCTGGGGTCCCTTCCCTCCCTCTCCAGGAGAAGGCAGGAAAATCCCTGCTGGCTGCAGAGCTGATCCCCAACCCCACAGAGCCCAAGCTGGCATTTCCCTGTCCTCCCTCTCCTCTCTCCAAGCTCCTCTGAGCAGAGCAGGGCCCAGGGTGGCAGTGACCCTCCTGCCACCTCCTGCCGCCCCCAGAGCCACCCAGCGCTGGTGGCAGCGGGGCTGTGGCAGCCCTGCCCGTTGCAATGGCACCCCACTGATGGCCCTTTTCTCTCTTTTTTTGTTTTTGTTTCTTCTCTCTCCCTTTGATTTTCCTTTGTATTCTCCCCTCCCCTGCTGTCTGGATCCCAGAAATCCCGTAAGGTACAGATAAGTATGACCCCCCACGCCTCCATCTCATCTGCCATTGGCACCTCCTCCCTTCCTTCCTTCCTATTTTTGTGTTTTTCATCTTCCCCATCTGGTTTAGGATCCCTGTAGTTTAGTCGTTCATTCCCAGCCAGTTGTCACCTTTTGTTTTTGGGACCATTTCAATTAATTAATCTGGTCATTTATTTTGTGTTAATCCCACACAGCATTAGTTAGTGCTCCATGTCACCCCGTCCTTGCTGTGGCCCTGCCGCCATCCCAGAGAATTCCCAGCAATCCTGGGGCTGGTGACAGCAAGGAGGGGATTTTCTCCTCCAGAACCACCTCGTGGGGTGCAGGAGAACCTCCTCAAGCCATGGGGTGCAGGAGAAAACCTGAAGCTGCTCCCCAAACCTTGGGGCAGCCAGGCTGGATCCCTCTGGAAGGGGCTGGGATTGAGCAGCAGCCCTGCAGGGCTCTGAGTGATGTCTGGGGACCCCAATTTTGGGGGGCACACCAAAGCAGAGCCCCCCTCCAGAGCCTCTCCCCAAAAATTAAATCCAGGGGAAACCTTTCCCAGGTGCCTGCTGGGGGTGGGACCTGGCAGTCCTTGGCATGAGGAGGTTTCCTGGAGGCTCCATCCGTGGAATCATAAATAAAATATCATCAATAAATTACCATAAGATAAATTACCATCCAATCTCCCAAACGGAGAGAGCCACGGGGACCATCAAGGCCAGCTCCTGGCCCTGCTTGGGACACCAGGGACAAGCTGACCCCTTGTCCTTGCTGTCCCTGTTCCCCCAGGTGCCTCACATGGTGCTGAACCTGAAGGAGCCCTTCTACGTGGGGGGAGCCCCCGACTTCTCCAAGCTGGCTCGAGCAGCTGCCATCTCCAGCGGCTTCGAGGGAGCTGTGCAGAAGGTGAGGTCCTGCTGGGACAGCCCGGTGTACTCTGGGACAGCCCCATGTCCTGCTGGCCAGCCCAGTGTCCCACCTGTCCTGGGATGGACCTGGGAGCTGTCCTGGTGGTGGAAAAGTGGCACCAGTGGGGAACAGAAGGGGAGTTTGGGAACACTTGGATGGGTTCCCATCATCTTAGGGATGGGTTCCCACCTCAGGGATGGGTTCGCATCTGCTCTTGTCCCCACTGCCTGGTGTCCCCGGATCACCAGAGGTGGATGGCCATGGACCTTCAGAAGATCCATGTTGGAGGAACCTTCAGGCTCTGTGTGCCATGGGCAGGGACACCTTCCACCATCCCAGCCCCATCCAGCCCAGCCTGGGATGCTGCCAGGGATGGGAATTCCGCGTTTTCGGGTTTTTGGCCCTGAGCAGCTCCTGGCTGACCCTTCCTGCCCCTGCAGATCTCCGTGGGTGGCGTGCCCGTGCTGAAGGAGGAGAACATCCGCAGTGCCAGGGAGGTGTCCCCGTTCCGGGGGCACCCCTGCACCCAGAAACCCAACCCGTGCCAGCACGGGGGCACCTGCAGCCCCAGCCTGGGCAGCTACCAGTGCTCCTGCCACAGGGGCTTCTCGGGGGCACACTGCGAGAAAGGTGGGTGCCAGGGGGCTGGGGGTGGCCATGGGGACCTGGAGATGCCACAGGGAAGGTGGAGGTGGCCACAAGGGGCTGGGAGTGGCCATGGAAAGGTGGAGATGGCCCAGGGGCTTGGAGGTGGCCATGGGAGGCTGGATGAAAAACCTGGAAAACCTGCACCAGAAGTTCAGCACACCCAGCCGGGGTTTCCTGGCCATTCCTTTCCCATCTCCCAGGAGCTCCCTGCCTTTCCTGGCCATTCTTTTCCCTGTTTCTCCCCAGTGATCATCGAGAAGGCAGCGGGGGACGCCGAGGCTGTGGCCTTCGATGGCCGCACGTACCTGGAGTACCACAACAGCATCACCAAGAGGTACCTGCCCCACCAGGGAGGAAAAGCTGGGATCCAGGAGCTCCAAACAGGGCTGGATGTTCCTGGCACTCCCCTCTTGGTTTCCCCCAAATTCCCAGCTCCAGGCCTGGCTGTGGGGCTGGCAGTGGGGTGGAGGTGGATCCTGAGTGTCCCTCGGGGATGGAACACGTGGGATTGTCCCAACCCCGTGCTGGGGAGGACCCTGGGGTGGCCATGGATGTGCTGCTCCTTGGGAATTCTCTCTGGGAATGAGCAGAGCTGCTCCAGGCTGGAAATTCCTCCTCGTCCTTGGGAATTCTCTCTGGAATTCTGGAATTCCCTCTGGGAATGAGCAGAACTCCATTTGGGCTCCTCCAGGCTGAAATTCCTCCTTCAGGAGACTCCCGTGTCCTTCTGCCTGTCCCAGTCCTGGTGTCCCCGCCCTGCTGGGGGGTGTGTCCATGTGGAGCTGCTGTCTGTCCCTCTCTGGGTGCCTGTCTGTCCCTCTCTGTCTGTCTGTCCCTTCTCAATGTCACTGTTTCTCTGTTTCCAAGCCACCTGAGCAATGAGATCCCAGCGTAAGTACGGCCCTGCCACCCTCACCCCATGTCCCCATTGTCACCCCAAACCCCGGGGCAGCTCAGGGCAGGGCTGGGGGGAGGAATCTGGGGCCTCTCCCGGGGTTTTTGCTGGAAAACTCTTCCCATTCCAGGGGGAGGAGGGCCCAGGTGCTGCCAGCAGCCCGTGGGGCTGAGCAGGAGCTGCCTCACCTGTGTCACATCCAGGTGTTGTCCCCGCCCTGCCACCCCCCAGCATGCCTCAAGGGAATTTTTAAGCATGATTTTAATAAGGATGAGCACAGGGAAGGAAAATTCCTGTGGCTTCCTGCTCCAGCAGCAGCCTGAGGTGTTGGAGATGGAAACTGGGGGTGCTGATCCTTGATTTTTCCAGTGTGGATGTGGAACCCCTCAGAACATCTCCAGTGTGGATGAGGGGTCAGAAAAAGGGTCAGGGCAGGAGGATGGGGACAAATCCCAATCCCTGGACAGCTGGGGTTTGCTCTGGGTCTGTCTTGCATGGAAGGGAAGCCCTAAAAGGGTTCCTAAAATTCCCTGCTCTGTGCGGGAGCGTTCCCTGCTGTGGGAAGGGGGGGATTTGGGGGGATCCCTGCCTGTCCCATCCCATCCCACCCCATCCCATCCCACCTCATTGTGTGGGGGCTGAGCTGTGCCTGTGCCTGCAGAGCCACCACCTGCATGTCCACACCGTTGGGAGGGGCTGCAAAGGGATTTTTAGGAATTTCAGGACTATCCTGAGCATCCTCCTAGGCTGGGCAGTGCCCTGCAGCAGTGTGAGCTCAGAATTGTCCCTGTGTCCCCTCCCCGAGCCACATCCCTGCTGCCTTGTGTCCCTGCAGAGGGAATGTCACCATTCCCAGCCTTTCCCAGGCTTTTCCCAGGCAGTTTGGGCTGTGCTTCTCCCACATCCCCTGCTGGGTTTGAATGCCCATAAAAGTGGAGCTTTCCTCCTCCAGGGAAGCTCTAGGGGATAGGAAAGGAAAAGGAAAAGAAAAAGAGGAAAGAAAGGCAGGCAGGGTCTCCTCGCTGTCCCTCGCTTATGGCTCGCTCCCCTTTTCTCCCATCCGAGTCCCGAGGCGCTGGATTTCCCCTCGGAGCCCAGGTGAGTGCCCAGGTGTGCCTGTCCCCTGCTCTGCCCGTGCCTCAGCATGTCCCTGTGTCCCTGTGTGTGTCCTCTGTGTCCCTGTCCTGGCTTTTTATCCGTGAGGGATGAGCTCTGCGCAGGGGGGACGGCAAAGTGCCACCAGGCTGAGGGACCCTGCAGGGACAGCTGGGCTGTGTCCCACCTCCGGATGCAGTATCCCTCAGGAATAAAAGGCTCTCTGTGGTGTCTCTGTGTGTCCCATCCAGCTGTTGCCAGGAGCCTCGTGCCTGTTCCAGAGGCAAAAATCAAGATTCCAACCTGGGGAAAATCCCTCTTTTTGTTGCCTCCATGCCCTTCCTGTGACCGTCCCCAGGGTGCCACTGCTGCTGTGTCACAGCTGGCAGGGATTGATCCTTTTGTCCCATGAGGAGAAAAGCAAGGACTCTCCAAAGAATCTCCTTCCTATGTATCCCAACCTAGGAGTGAGATGGAGGCTATCCCAGCTGGTTTGTGGGATGGAGGTTATCCCAAAATCTGCCACCTTTAGGGCAGCAGGTGGGCACAGACCTTTCCTGTGTATCCCAGGAGTGGGATGGAGGTTATCCCAAAATCTGCCACCTTTAGGGCAGCAGGTGGGCACAGACCTTTCCTGTGTATCCCAGGAGTGGGATGGAGGCTGTCCCAGCTCTGAGCTGCTCAGTGGGGTGTAGATTATCCCAAACCCCATGACCCTCCAGGCCAGCAGGTGGGGACAGGCGGGGAGTTCATCCCCAGGGGAGGAGGATGAGGATGAGGATTAGGATGAGGATGAGGATGAGGATGAGGATGAGGATGAGGATGAGGATGAGGAGCTGCCCGTGGCGTTTCCCCGCAGTGAGAAGGCCCTGCAGTCCAACCACTTTGAGCTGAGCATCAAGACAGAGGCGACGCAGGGGCTGCTGCTGTGGAGCGGGAAGGGGCTGGAGCGCTCGGACTACATCGCCCTGGCCATCGTGGACGGGCGCGTGCAGCTCAGCTACGACCTGGGCTCCAAGGCCGTCACCCTGCGCTCCAGCGTGCCCGTCAACACCAACCAGTGGGTGCACATCAGGGCCTCCAGGTCAGACACGGCGGGGTCGGGAGCGGGATCTGGATCTGGATCGGGATTAGGGTCTGGATCTTGGATCTGGACTGGGGTCAGGATCAGAATTGGGATTGGGATGTGGATTGGGGTCAGGATGAGGATTTGGATCGAGATCTAGATTGGGATCTGCATTGGGATTGGGATCAGGCTCTGGATCAGGATTGGGATCTTGCTTGGGATTGGGATCGGGATCTGGATCTGGATTGGGATCAGGTTGGAAAAGCTGGGAATGAGGCAGCTGTGCCCCGTGATCCCCAAGGAGCTCTCTTTGGAAAAGAACTCTCAGAGCTTTGGGTCTGGAAGCCAAAGCATAGAATTAAACCCAGGATTTGATCTGAGATCTTGGAAAAGGCTTCCAGACTTAGGTGCCAGAAGTGAGGATGTGGATTTAGAGTTTAAAGCAGAGACACGTTAAGTAAAGGAAAGTTTTAGAGTTTAAGATATAGAAAAAATAAAGTAACTACAGCCCTGTAGCTGGAAAAGCACTGGTGGGGATATCCCAGGAATGGGGTGGAGATTATCCCAAAATCTGCCCCCAGTGGTTCCCAGGGTCAGGACTTGCAGGGAGCAGCTCTGGGCTGGCTCTGGGGCTGTTCCTGAACTCCTGCTGTTGCTGAACTCCTGTTGTTCCCCCTCGGGAGCAGGGTGCAGAGGGAAGGCTCCCTGCAGGTTGGGAACGAGGCCCCCATCGCCGGCTCCTCTCCCCTCGGGGCCACCCAGCTGGACACGGACGGGGCGCTGTGGCTGGGTGAGTCTGGGGGGGGACATCCCCGTGTCCCCTGGGGGGCTCAGGGCTGCAGCGGGCTGGGGATGTTGGGGGTGTCCCTCCCTCCCTCCCTTCAAAACCCTCAGGTGGCTGAAAAATGCCCTGTCCCCTGTGCTGTCACGTCTGTCTGTCCCCTGTCCCCTGCCCTGTTCCACAGCTGATGCTGTGCCATTTCTGGGGGCTGTCCCCTGTGCTGTCCCCTGTCCCTTACGCTGTCCCCAGTCCCAGCTGACCCTGTTCCATTCCAGAGAGTCAGCTGGAACGAGGTTTTGTCCTATCCCCTGTGCCGTCCCCTGCTCTGTCTCTTGTGCCCTGTGCAGTCCCAATTTGTCCTCAGTCCCAGCTGACCCTGTGCCATTCCCAGGGGTGCTGTCCCTGTCCCCTGTGCTGTCCCCTGTGCTGTCCCCTGTCCCTGTCCCAGCTGAGCCCTGCTCTGTTCCCAGGTGGGCTGGACAAGCTGAGCGTGCCCCAGCGCCTGCCCAAGGCCTTCAGCACGGGTTTCGTGGGCTGCATGCGGGACGTGCTCGTGGACCGGCGGGAGCTGCACCTGCTGGAGGACGCCCTGAACCAGCCCCGGATATTGCACTGCTCGGCCAAATAGAGCCCAGGGACCTCCCTCCCGCCTCCCTCCTCCCTCCCTCCTGCCTATTGCTGTAATTATTTTCTATTTTTGTAAACTTATTGCTTTTTATATTTTTGGGGGGGACAGGGAGGGCAGGAAACCCTTTTTGCTTTCGGGCTCTGGGCCCGAGCAGCGGAACAAAGCTCGAGAAGTGACACCAGAACTCTCCCACTGCAGCGTCGATCTTCTTCATACTTGAAGCTTCTTTTGTTTTGGGGTTGTTTTCCCCCTTTTTTCCTGCTGTTTTTGGGGGTTTGTTCCCAAAAACAACCCTGTTTTCCCGTGGGGGAAACGCTGCTGGTGCTGGCGAGGCCTTCACGGATCGGCGGGGTGGGAATTCCTGCTCTGCTCCGGGCTCTGGCTCTTCCAAACCTTCTCTGGCCCCTGTTCACCTGATTCCTGCTGCCCCCGTTCCTCTCACTGTAATTTATGTGTGTAAGGATCTCAAGTGCTTTTCTCCTCCGAGCTCTGCTCAAATCAGGGATGCCACGCACTGGAAGGGAGAGAGCCGGGCCCAAGCTTCGCTCTGCGCTCGCCTCGGGACTCTTTGCTGGACTCAGAGGTGCCGGGGAGGCAAAAATGTGGATTTTTCCAGCGGTTCTCCTCCTCCTCCTCCTCTCGGACACGTGCAGGAGCAGCTGTGAAACCTCATTGCCACATTTTGTGTTCATCCAGACGTGTCCTGACCCCTCCCCGGCCACCGAGCCTTGGCCTCCCTCGTGCTGGGGATCACTTGGAGCTCCTCTCCAAGAGCTGGGAATTCTCTCCTTCTCCCAAGAGGACCAGGAGATTCCCTGTTCCTCCTCAGAGACCTCCTGGACGTGTCCTTCCACGCCCCACAGCCTTCTCCAGCCTCTGGCTCCCAGCCTGGCAACGCAGAGCTGCCACTGGAGCCTCTCCCACCAAGAAAATTGGGAATTTTTCACCTTGGACTTGGAGTTTTTGGGTCTTCCACATCCTCTGGATGCTGCCAGCCCTGCAGGAACGGCTCCAACGGGAGCAGGAGCGGGGCTGGGGAGTATTTGGGGGGAATTTGAAGCATTTTCTTCCAGGAAAGGAAAGTTTTGGGGCCAGTTGTGAAGTTTCTGGGGTGTGGCTGCACCTCTGGCTGCAGCTCGGGGTCTCCTGGAAGTGGAGAAGAACAGAGGGATCCCAGCCCTGGAAGAAACCCCATCTTCCATTGGGATTCCTTCTCCATGGAAGGATTTCCTGCTGTTTGTGGCCTCTGTGTCCCTTTCCCACCCTCAGCTGGGATTTCTCTGTGGAAAAACAACTTTGGGGATTCATCTGCAGGATCCCACCAGGTCCTGGGTGGGAGTTCCTGCCCAAGGTGCCAGAATTTGGCGCTTTTTCCCCTAAATTTCTACCCCACCTTGCAGGGCACCCTTTGAAATGGGAGTTTTGGCACCAACTTTTGAGCCAGGAAAGGTCAAATTTCTTCTCTCAGGGTGAGCTCTGAACAAAGGTGGAACCAAGAGGGAAAAACCACTTAGATCTGCTTTGATTTCATTTATTTGATTTTTTTTTTTAAAAATAAATATTCCCAACCTGTGAGATTCCTGTGGAAAATGCAGGGTTAAACATTCCATGGGGGCTGTGCCCTGTGTGGGATGGGGGCTCTGCTGTGCCTGGGGGGTTCTGTGAGTGCCAAAATTCCCATTTTTTGGGGCTGCTGGGTCCAAACTGGGATTCCTGGTGGGAAATGCTGGGCTGGGCTGGGAGGGAGGTGTATGGGAGATTCCCCAGTCCCAATTTTGGGAATTTGGAATGGCATTCCCAGCTGGGCTGGTGTTCCAGCTCCAGAGGGATGGGGAAGCTGCTGATTTTCAGGATAAAGTCAAGAAAGAGAAAAAAAACCCCCAAGAACTGAACAAAAATAAATATAAAAACTCATTTTGCTTTTGCTGGGGCTTGGAAATGCCTTAAACCAGGATTTGTGTCCTCATGGGGGAGCATTGGGAATTTCCAGCAGCCCATTCACCTGGGCTTTATTTTTAACAACATTTCTACCACAGAACGTGCCAAAAAAAAACAACAACAACAACAAAAAAAAAAGAACATCGAGGTTGGGTTTTTTCCTGCATTTGATTTTTTTTTTGGCTTTTTTTTTAATTTAAACCCCTGAGGTGTCCATGGAGAGGGTGAATTCCTGACCTGGGGAGCTGCTGGCTGAGCTGTGGCGGGCAATGCGCAGTAGAGGAGCAGCATGATGTAACCATTACTAACTCGTGTCTTTCGTCAAATCACCCAGAAATAAAGTTTGGAAACGATTAAAGAGGTTTTTAAGGGGCCTGCTGCTTCTTTTTTTTCCTAGGATAAAGGAGAATCCTGCTTTTCTCGGTGCTGTTTGCTGGGCAGAGGGGCAAGCTCCTGCATCTCCTAAATTCAGTTGTTCCAGGAATTCCATCCCCAATCCCAGGGGTTTGCAGGATTTTTGTGTCTTTCCTTCCCCTCTGTGGTTTCAGCTTGTGGTAGTCTCCACTTTTCCTTCTTCGTCTCTTTTATCACCCTCAGCACCAGGGAACCCTCCCAGCCTCTGGAATTCTGGTATTGCACCTTCCCAGCCTCTGGAATTTGGGTTTCACCTTCCCAACCTCTGGAATTCAGGATTCGCCCTCCCAGCCTCTGGTATTCAGGTGTTTCCCCCTCCCAGCCTCTGGAATTCTGGTGTTTCCCATCTGTTCATCCAGGCCTCCCCATCCCAGCTCCTCACAGGAATAATCACGGAGCTGCTCCAGAAAAAAAAAAATCCCTTTATTCCTTCAGGAGCTGGAGGAAGGGGAGCCTGGGGAGCTCTGGGTGCATTCCCAGCCCTGGCGTCCATGGAGAGCCCGGCAGCAGGACGGATGCACGGGGACATTCCAGAGGCACAAGGACATTCCAGAGGCACGGGAGCGCGGTGAGCGGGATGTGAGATCTGCCGCAATCCCAGGAATGCAGCAGGTCCTGCTTGGCACCGGATGGAGCTGAGATCCAGGAAAGGCTTTGTCCTGTCCCTTGTCCCCATGAAGCTGAGCAGATCCAGAAGCTCTGACTCTGCTGGAATGGGGATTTTGCCCCAGATTCTGTGAGGACAACAGGTTCTGTTCCTGTTCCTCATCCCTGAGCAGATCCAGAGGCTCTGGCACTACTGGAATGGGGATTTGATCCCAAATTCTTTCAGGACATCAGGTCCCATCCTTGTCCCCATCCCTGAGCAGTCCTAGGGCCCTGTCCCTATTGGAATGGTGGCTGTGTCACCGCAGGGGCCAGGACAGAAGGTCCTGTCCCTATTGGAACGGTGGTGGTGTCACCGCAGTGGCCAGGACAGAAGGTCCTGTCCCTGTTGGAACGGTGGCGGTGTCACCGCAGTGGGCAGGATAGAAAGCCCTGTCCCTGAGCAGCCCCAGAGCCGTGTCCCTAGTGGAACGGTGGCAGTGTCACCGCAATGGTCAGTACAGAAGGTCCTGTCCCTGTTGGAACGGCGGCGGTGTCACCGCAGTGGCCAGGACAGAAGGTCCCATCCCTGAGCAGCCCCAGAGCCGTGTCCCTAGTGGAACGGTGGCAGTGTCACCGCAATGGTCAGTACAGAAAGGTCCTGTCCCTGTTGGAACGGTGGCGGTGTCACCGCAGTGGCCAGGACAGAAGGTCCCATCCCTGAGCAGCCCCAGAGCCGTGTCCCTAGTGGAACGGTGGCCGTGTCACGGCCGCGGCGGCCGCGGTGGCTTTGGGGGGCAGCAGCTCGGGCCGGCTGACGGCCGCAGTCCGCGTGAAGCAGCGCAGGTTTCCCGTCTTGAGCGCGCACTGCACGGGCCACAGGATGATGCAGAAGAGGATGATGAGCAGCGCCGAGAGCAGCACGATGCGCTTCCAGTCGTCGCACAGCTCGCAGCGCGACAGCCGCCCCGCCAGCCCTCCCGGGGCCGCCTCGGCGCTCTCGGCCTTGCTCAGGGCCACGTCGATGGACACGCACGACTCGGGGTCCTCGGGGTCGCCGTCGGAGGCGCGGCGGCAGCAGAGCTTGGTGCCGTCCATCCAGAGCTCGCGCTCGCGCTGCAGCTCGGGCGGCAGCGTGGCCAGCAGCTCCTTGCTGGTGCGCAGGCCGGGCGCGCCCTGGCTGGGCAGGTTGGTGGGCTGGCGGCAGAAGGGGCACGGCAGCAGCTCCTGGCCCGCGCCCAGCGCCGCGCTCAGCCGCGCCACGCACTCCAGGCAGAACACGTGCGAGCACTGCAGCAGCTTGGGCGTCTTGAAGGTGTTGTCGTAGGTGTTGAAGCAGATGGAGCACTCGACGGGCGAGGCCGGCTTGGGCGAGCCGGGGCTGGCGCAGCTCGGGGAGCCCGCGGGCGAGCGGCCCTTCCTGCGGGCGTCGCCCGGCGACGGCAGCACGATGGGGCTCAGCGGCACCGGCACCGAGCCCGGCGAGGCGGGCGCCGGGCTGGACGGGGACTCCGGCGCGCTCGAGTGCCACAGCTGCGGGAAGCAGGACATGATGGAGCCCCCCGAGGGGAACTGAGCCCAGGGAGACTCTGCAAGAGAACAACAGCACGGGATTCATTTCATTTCATTTCATTTCATTTCATTTTTTTAATTTTATCTCATTATTTTATTTTATTTTACTTTATTCTATTTTATTCTATTTTATTTGTATTTATTTTATTATTTTATTTTACATTATTTTATTATTTATTTTATTCTTATATTTATTTATTTATTCAGAATCACCCGCTTTTCATTTCCTTTTATTTATTTTTATTTTATTAAAATTAATTTTTTTTATTTATTCAGAATCACCTCCTTTTTATTTAATTTATCTATTTATTTACTCAGAATAATCCACTTTTTATTTCGTTTCATTTATTTCATTCTCTTTCTTTTATTCTATTTATCTCTTCAGAATCACCCACTATTTATTTTATTTATTCTATATTATTTTATTCCCTTATTTATTCAGCATCACCCACTTTCTATTTTATTTATTTTACGTTATTTTATTTTATATTATTATT